TTTAGGACACTCTTAAAATACCTCAAAAACTATCCTTTATAATGCAATTAAGTAAAAATATATAATTAAATAAAATTATAAGGTACAATATTAAAAAAAAAAAAAAGTGAGCTTAAAGCCATCTGAAATAATGTTTCATCGAATTTTTCATTTAAAAATAGCATCTAAGAATTTTCTGACGTCACGATCCAATATGGCGGAGGATCCAGGATAGGAAGGAACACGGAAACCAGGTTGAAAGCGATGTTTATGATGGAAAGAGTCGCGCTTCGGAGAAGACTCGTTTCAGATCGCATTCAAATTTCGGAGACGCATTGTATATATCGCGAGAGATCTTTTTTCTTTTCATTCCATCCTGCCTTTCTTCGCCGGTCCACGTCCTCCCTCCTCGCAAAAGGAACACGTACTTGTGTCGACAGATCGCGCACAAGTATATACGTGTTGCTTGTCATTGAGCCGCGCGGTCGAGTAACAACACGCGCCCGACAATGTTGCATCGCCGCGATGATAAGCCTTATCTCTCGGTCAGCGGCAATTCAGTCGTTCCAGGCAAATACGCGACGATAAGAGTCGGTCTCGAAATAGTTGTCCGCGTCTTGCGAGTTTCGCGTATTTACGAAAGCGCGAACCGCTTTACGTAAGATTCCGTCTCGATGTATACTCGGAAGCATATGCACACGTATGGTAAGAGAATTATATTTTTCCGTTTCTTTTTCCTTATCTGTAAAACGTGATCGTTTTATACGAGAACGATCAACAAAGCTCTTAAATCTTCGATACTAAAATTTTGTAATCTCGATGAAGAAATCTCTCTTCGGCTCGGAAAGAAATTAAAATTCTTTAGCGTAATAGAGTACGCGACGCTTTAATGTCTCTGGGTACAAAGTATTAACAGGCACCTAAGAGATCGTGTTGTGCCGACGAACACGGGAGACAAACATTCGCTATGTCATGCGACCACTATTGCGTAACGTTGAAGAGAGTTATGAAAATGTTGAACGGAGACGATGCCTCGTCGGAGATTTCGTCTTATACAAGGGAACATTTAAACGCGGGTATACAAAAGAGCAATATGATGATACGCTATATAGAGACTAACCGGATGCTCCGATTTCCGAACGGAGATGTGTCGTAGATTTTATCCGGCCGCTACCTGTCATTTATTTTACGTTACTCTGCAAATTTTTGACAGATTGGAATTTTAAATTCAAGACTTTGGCAAATATACACGGGGATCATTTTCTCTTAGAATTGGATTTTTAAGAATTTTATAAGTTATTACGACTCATAAAATTTGTATTATAAAGAATGTCACGTCGATTTGTCAATTACAAAAACTGCATTTATATTTTATTTATATATTTATTACAATATACTCCACAAAGAGTGAGATTGCACTCCAAATAATTTAGAGAGTATACTAATATTTTAATATAAAATTAAAAATTAATATTCTACATACTATTGTAAATATAATCTAATAAATATGAAATGCAATGTTTAAATTAACAAATCGGGTTGGTCCCACTCTTTTAGAGTGAGATCCCACTTAAAGAAATATAGAGAGCATGTTTTTATTACATAAGAATATCGATTTAATTGATAAAGTGAAATTTCTCGTCTCTTGTAAATGACGGAGGGCGTGAATCGGCCTTAAGCGCGGAGCAGAAATCTGCGTTCCGACGTCTCGCTTAATGCGTCCCGCGTCAGCGGTGGAGACATGCGCGAGAAAGAGAGAAGGAGAGATCGTATCGCGCGTACGTTGTTGACCTGCGGGAGTAGTCCGCGCGGTTATGTCGTAACTTTCACAATGAGCGTCGCTCGTCGTCGTCGCGCACCCGCTCAGTGCGAACCATCTTCGGTGATCATCGGCGAGGCTCGGATCGGCAATCTCCGTACTTTCCGCCGTGCACACGACAATCGGCCGCTCTCGTCTCGTCGCCCCGCAAAGAGTAAGGAATGCTTGTGATGATATCTCCGAGTGCCGATACTTCGTTCCTCCTCGACTCGAGGCGCGTTCCTTATTTTCAACACGAAAGCGAACGACGATCTCTCTCGCGCGGCCTTGTTCGCATATCGTTAAATCATCACTAAAGCGATGTCGCTATTGTGTTCTTAAAATAATCATCGTTTCCTCGCGACGAAACTATTTATTGCTCCAACGCGCTCGCTTTGCCGAATTATTAAGAGCCACCTGCCCAAGTTTTGCCGTTGTTTTCATAGTAAACTATATATATATAGAACGAAACAAAATTAATTGCCAGTTTATATCGTTTTAAAAGACTTATATATTGATAAAAACTCATTGATATATAGAAATCAAGATTTGGATCGAGGAAACGCAAATAATGATTGCGCCGTGATTATATCGGGATTTAAATGTCCGATGTTACATGCTACGAGGAAAAGAAACGAGACAAAGTAAATAAGAGAAAATACAATATTATACACGAGATCGATAATCGACGTTTCAAGGCCGATGGAACTTTATTCTCGATAATAATTTTTTTTTAGATCCCGTCGATCATATTTTTACGCGTAAACATTCCTTCGCTAATAGAAGCTATGCCGTGCCGTTGACCTGCCAACTAGTCCGCTCGGTTATGTCGTAACTTTCACAATAAGCATTTTTATCGCGCCTGGCTCTCCGGCCGTTCGCTAGCATCAATTAACAAACGCGTAATGAATTCTACACGGCAAGCTCTTCTCCGTGTTCTCTCGTGTTTTGGAACACATTTCTCACGGGAAATCTCACACCCGCGACATTAATAAAATACATTAGCAGAAGAGGGTAAAATCCCGACGACGTGAAACAAATTATGTTATTTTTGCCTCGTGTGTTAATTCATCGTGGGACGGCGCCTAAGCCGTGTGAATGTGGCTTAATCCGGCCGCGAGCGCGTCCTTGCACCGTGTCGGGCCGCCGCGCCGTTTACATGGGGCGCCGGGTTTGCACCTAACCTCTCGTGAGTGTAACGTGCGCGGGCACCTCTCCGCCGTCAGCCGGTGCTCTCTCTCTCTCTCTCTCTCTCCCGCCGCTGAAGCGACGTACACAGAAAACCGCGTGGCTGACGCGCACGGCGCAAGCCAAGACAACGAGGCAACGCCGCGTGGCCGACCAGCTGATCGCTCGGCAACGTGCGGGCTGACGGCGGGGAGTCGCGCGCGACTGGGCTAATGAGTGTACGACCTATTGGGGGCTCGATGGTGGGGGACCGCGCGCGAGAGAGATCCCGCCGCGGAGTGGGGGCGCCTGTGTTGCCGTTTGCCGTCACGTCAGACAGTCTTGCCTCTTGTCGTCGACGCCGCCGACGGTGTTTTCTACGATCGAGTGGCGGCGGCATTGCAAGGTCTAGGAGCGCCGTATACTCGAGACGCCGTAGTTTCTTGTCGCGGAAACGGCTCTGCGAAAGTCGTTCTTTCCACGATGTTTGTTGCAGTTTCTTCTTCAGGAAGACCGGGCATTTACAGGGAATTTTAGAAATGTCAGGGACAAGTCACAATTTTACTATTTATCTAGATTTTTTCACATTATATTCTACATTTGTCGTGCATAACGCGGATTGTATAATTGGTTTAAATTTTTGTTTGAACTTCCGAACCTTTTCGTTGTTGACACAAAAATATCTCAAGGATTTCATGATTTAACATTTAATTGATTCATCATGCAAATGATATATTTGGAAAAAATAATACTAAAAAGTCAGGGGAAAAATGAATTTCTGGTGTTGGGGAAGATCTGAAAGAGTTAGGGAATTTTTTCATCGAGTCTGCTGGACACCCTGTTCTTCCTTATTTTCTGAAATTCTTGTAGGGCGCGACGAGTCTTAAAATATCTTTTCAATGAACTGGATACGCAAGAGCGAATGGGGGACGAGTAGGTTTAATCGATCGACGATACGTCACGCCGAATAACTATTATGTGCCGGCTCGACTACCGTAAACGTCATCTATTTTATCGAAAGACGGTTTCGTTCTAATTTATTCTTACGAATGATGGGTGATTCACTCTGTTCCGCGATTCATTCAACGTTAGGTATTAGCAAGCTTGTTCATTTATTATCGTATCGAGGATGCATAAACAATGTATAATTTATTTAAACGGTCATTTTCATTTTATTAAAAACTTGGACGGTAAAGATTTAATACACGATCATGAATTCCTATGAGCTTATACAGATCGTTTAACCCAATACTCCAACTCGATATATAACTTTGTAATCGCAAATTGGCTCTCTGGATAATTTCTGAATAGAATTCTCGGAACGCTTGCAATCATTAGAAGGATTCCATGATTGATTTATTAAGCTACATCGGCGAGAGAGTTAACGCTAATGACTTGTGCTATCAAGTATAATTTCAAATGTCAAGCATACTTGTTATTTTATCGCATAATAACAGTATCTCTTATCGCTATTTAAAGTAAGAAAAACATCGAGATACGGATACGGACGAATGGAAATAATATTTTCATCTCGGCATTTAATTCGAGCAATTCCACGTCTCCGGGTAATATTGATTTTTATGTATGTCGAATATCTATATGTATATTGTAAGAATCTCTTTGTCATTCGAAATATAAGTTGTTCTCACTAATTGTTCTTAAGAAGCTGAGCTTGAAATGCCCTGTTTGGGACAACAACAGGAGAACGAGGAACGGCTGAGGGTCTCAACTAAATAAGGAGTCACTTGATTAATGGACAGTATATTAGAGATATTCATTTAATATGGAAACACAATTGTACGGGTGCGGTTAATTATAATCGCCGGCCACACACTTCGAGAGATATCAGGATCGACTCACTATGTCTAATTGCGTCGCTATTTTCACGGTTACTTCAAATCAGAAATTGCGAGCGAGATACAAAAACGTTATCACGTTAACAAAACCGTTAGGTTGCTCTAGTCAAGTCGAATATCGAGTGCTACAACCAAAAGGGCAGATGCCTTTCACTCGAAAAATCTCTCGTAACTCTCTCTTCTCTCCTTTTATACCCAAAAGCCTAGCGAGCGCGCGATCGGGAGAATACCCCCAGAATTCCGGGCCTGGGTCGCGTAACGGGGCGCCGACCGACCAATTAATCGGGTGTCATGCTTTCCCCGCGTGTTCGCCAGTCAGTTCGGTGGGGAAAAGGGGAAAAATTTCTTACAATATGTATATATCTCCTGGATATGCCACGGTGGCATAAAACTCGCGAAATCACACCCGACGTTTGTCTTCGACACACCGACGTGAACGCCATCATACGGAAACGATCGCGCTCATTTTCCATGGAACTTGTGCCCGAAGGGGGGGTGGAAGGGGAGGGAGGGCAAGAAGGGGCTTCTCTCCTCCAGAGACTTCCGAAAAGGAAGAGAGGAATCTCCTCTCGTTGTCGATGCGCGACGTTCCCTCGTGTTCTTTGGCTTTGAAAAACTGCCAGGTTCGTTCTTCGACTCTACATCTCGTATCGATAACACGGTGTAAAAACATGGCGAGGGAAGGGGGTGGGAAAGAGAAATTCCTGGGTGCCACTCTGTGTCGCTCTTTGCAATTGTGTCGTTGAAAACCTACCCACCGGCCGGCGCAATGGCGACCCGCTCTTCGCGAATTTCACGCGCTGACGTCACGTAATATCGAGAATCTCGCATCTCGCGCGCTTATCGAGTCGCTACATAGATTTATCATTAGCGATTTAATGCGGATTAAATGCCAGATGGATGACGAGCTATGAATGATCGTTCACGAAACTCCCTTTCGGTTTATCTAATGAAAAACCGAGGATGTAAAGAGATGATAATTAAATTACGATAATTAAAATGCATATTTTACGTGCATATTTAGTATTTAATTAAAATCTTTCGCTCCAATTACATCGCTGTGATAATTTATCGCGTAAGAGTTATTATTATCCGCGCGATATAGATTTCTGTTACACAGTCACTTGTAGTTTTTTTTTTAAGACTCGTTTTCACGTGACGTTGACGTGTTATTTTATGCCTCTACGTAATGTCGAACGTCACGGTGCGAATTGCCGCGAAAATCGAATGTCATTGTCGCAACGTTGTAAATGGTCGTAAAACGTTGGAGAAAACAAGTCCAATGACTTGGACCCCGCAGGACGTTAAAATGGCGTTATCATTGGTTACTTTTTGCGTGAATGGCGTCGTCGCTTTCTCTCGGGAGTGTCGCGAATGTGTCACTAATCAGAGACTCGCGATACAAATAACATAGGGACATTGTTTAGGAACTAGCGGTATCGTATAATACTGTCGCGCGTTTTATCGAAAAGTTCATCACCAATTACGCAACACTTGTCGACGAAAATACGAAAATTATTGGATGCGCAAGTAACTGTTTAGTATATGCTCGCTATAATCGAAATCTTTTGACGCTTCGATTATGATAAAAAATTACGTTTCTTATTCGACCCAGATAGACATCTTCAATTACATCCATTCAGAGAAATCGCTCCTCATTAATCTCTCCCTTTAATTAACATTCACCCGCGAAACGATACTCTTCCATTTTATCCACTATATATATTCCGCGGGATTATAATTTTCGTACACAAACGAATACATACGAGACTGCACACGTCACAATATTTTTCACTCGTTTTTTTTTTTTTTTTTCTTTCAAATATTTACATGATATATACTCTCCTCGTACGAATTTATTAGAAAATCGTAAATTTGATCGATACACCACATCCTAGGTCAGACCCGCTCGGTCGCTCGACCTGTTATGTGCGTTCTGCCGTGTGCCGTCCTCTTGTATATTCCCCCTCTCTCGCTCTGTTTGCTTCCCCTCTTCCTTTTCCCCTCCACTTTGCATCTCTCTTGCCATAATACGCCCTCGCACAGGCCGAAGCACGCGTCCGCACAATGTATCTCACAGGAACGTAACGAGCGGAATCAGCACGAGGGTGCATTTCCGAGAGGATGCAAATGCGAATGTCGCCATTTTTTAGATCGTTAAATAATGTTGCTACGAGTGTGTGACGAATTAAGAGAGAACTCGGATCCGTTAATGCGTACCTAGCTTGTTTTTATAATGACACGTATCTCGGTTTAGCAGCGAATATGCGTAGTCTTTTAAATTCTTATGTAACACTAATGCTTATGTAATACTCGACAAATTGCATTTGATATCAAATACGCGAATTAATATAGCGTTATTTACATACTAATGTTAATTAGAAAATATATAGTACCGACATATGTATCCTATATATGCTTTTTTAGGCTTTTCTCGCTGTAGCGATAAATTAGAATTATGTCAGAAAAATTGTGTAGCTTTTTCTGTCATTACACATTATTCATTTAAATACGTGTGGTTTTTGCGCATATCAAAAATAAATGATATTTGATTATCGGAATCGGAATTTTTTTTTTTTTTTTTTTATTATTCCGCATTATTAAATGATTGTTAATTCAATTTATCTGTAATCAAATTTGCATTTTCGATATTTTATTCCTTACATTTCTATATAGTGAAAATGTGTCTTATAACAGTTAATCGAAATTTAGAATGAATACCGTTATTTATCAAAGTCCTCGACGTATTTTATCAATCGATGTTATTAAAAATAAAATGTACAAAATATGTTAATTTATCTCAAATATAGTGCTATAGAAAAAAAATACACGATTTCACGCCGACCTGATCATAATTCAGTATAGCTACAGTGAGAAACCGAGAAACTTTATGAATCAATTAAAAAGAAGCAAAACTTTTTTATCGCTTTTCTGACGTTTTGCATATTATACAGCTAGATATATAAAACAGCTGTTCTTTTTTTTTTTTTTAGAAGACACTAGAGTTCAACTTTCCGAGTGTCTGGTACCTTCTTTGTCAGATTTCGAACCGTTATTTTTCGGTCTGAGCATACCTGTTACGTTAGTTTATCTCGCTATTTGCTCTCACATTGATCCCGAAGTGCATTCAAGCTGCTGCCAGGTCTCCGAGAGAACCACGAACTGTTGAAAAGTTTGTCATCGTTATATTAATAATGGAGGAGGGAGGCGTAATTATTTTTCTTTTTAATTTTTCGTTCTTTTAAATATATTACATACGCAAATAATTCTTAATTTTCACTGGATTCCGCAAGAGGGGGCGACATGTCGTGTCCCCCATTATTACAATCTTCCTAGTTTGCGAGGCACCGCATTTTTTAATAAAACTGCATGCAAAAAAAAGAGACGAATTATTTTTTCTCGTAGGATAAATGAACATAACGTCAAAAAAAAAAAAAAAAACAAACCGCTCGCGCTTTTCTCTCCGAGATACACAACGCCGGAACGCAAAGTAACGCCGCAAGGCGGAACCGCGGATCACACACGGGAAACGTATCTCGGTAGAGACGAAAGGGGGCGGTGGCGGCGGCGGCGAAGAAGGGGGGGAGGGGGTTGGGGAAGTACAACAGAGCAGAGCACCCTTCGCACGCTGTAGCGGCACAACCACACTTCGCCACATCGATTTTACCGGCTCGCTTGCACTCATACTCGGTCGACCCTGTCTCTCCGTCAGTCACACCGCTTCTCTCTTTCTATCTTATCCCGACCGTCCATCCCCCTCCTCCTCATCCAACGTCTGCCCCCTCTCTCTCTCTCTTCCTTTCGCCACTGTTGTGCGACGCGGGACGGGAGGGGAAGAGAGGAGGTTGCACCTTTTGCCGCATCTCGGAATCTCGCGCGTTGCTCATTTGCCGTACATAGAGGGAGACGACGAAGAGGAGAGTAAGAGGAACGATGGAAAGAGAGAGAGACAGAAACCTCGGGGCTAGGTAGTAGTAGTAGTAGTAGTAGTAGTAGTATGCGAGAGCGGCGGCGGCGGTGGCACACAGTGGTCGGACAGTTCCAGTTCCGTTTCGATTAGGCGAGTCCACGCGCGCCGGGTTGGTTTTCGGCTCCCGCGACAGAGTCCCAACCGAGTCCGTGGCGAGAGAGACCGCGTACATATATATATATATATATATATATATATATTATATATACGTACGTAGAGGATGCCGTTCAACGACGTGTCCATTGACGCGACCGTCTCCGCTGCTGTTTACCCGGCGCACGTTAACATCCACGAGCGCGTTCGGGAGGAGCGAAGTGAACGGACGCGCGCGCGAGAAAGACAGAGAAGGAGAGAGGAAGAAGAGAGAAGAGCCTCCTCTCGCTTCTCGATTCACCGGGTCCGTTCGTGAACGGGTCGTATCGGGGGACTGGTAGGCTGCGACTTCGCCGGGTTTGTATATCATACGTACGTATTTACGTTCCTCGGTCACTTCGCGGATCACTGACAACTGGAGCGAGAGAGAGAGAGAGAGGGACTCTCTCTCTCTGTCTCTCTCCTTCGGCCCTCTAGCCCAGTTCCGGGCACGGCCGCTGATCCATCGATAAGGAAGTTTGCTGTCCTCTCTCGCACGGTGTTGGATTTGTTCGTGCGCGAGGAATCCGCGGGGATCGAGCATCTCGTTGTCGCATAGTCGAGGTAGAGGCGCGATGCGGTCACGTGACTCGGATCGGGGATTACCCGCGAAACGGCGCGATCGAACGTCAGATTAGATACGAGTCGGAATATATCGAGCGTGTTTACCTGCGAATGAGATTAGATTCCAATTATTCTTTCAATCTTATCGACCCCCGCGTAAACTCCTTTGTAAATAAATGTCGCGTCTTTTCAGTGACAAACGTCAGACGCGTCATCGATTCTGTCACGGCGATCGATGTGTCTCTTCTCGATGAAAGAGGGATTAATAATTCGCGATCTGGAATTAATAATCTAGTGACATTTCAAATCGAGACGCATTATATATTTATTTAGTATTTAAATCCAACTCGAGGATTATACCGATTTTGGAAGATTTTAGTCGTCTGATGACTCGTGTAAAATTGTGAAAATGAGATAAGTATTAGCTGTTAACCCCCAATTTTTTTGTCAAGCGGGATTTGGTGGATGTAAAAGAAATTAATACATAATTGGTTAAAGCGACATTTATTTACCGGGATAAGGATTATTTCGACACATTTATTCCTCATCTGCGCAAAAAAAGATTTGTTGTTCGCGAATCTCTCTCTCTCTCTTTTTCCCTTCGGTCCTATATATCGAGATATAAATATAATTAAAAAAAACCGTCTCGAGAAATAATATATAAAGTCCCACGAGAGACAAAAATAAAATCTCTCGTCAATCCCTAAATAGATCGCGCGACAGAGTCGACGCGAAAAAATATCTAACAATAATAAAAAAATATCAATCTGATTAAATCAAACTTTTTATCAATCGATCGAAAAGGGAAAGCTCATCAAATTCGTACTAACCTCAACACGTAGTAGTGTGAACATACAACACACACATACACAATCCGAAGAACCTTTCTAGAGCGTTGTCGACATTCCTCCGATTCGAAGAAAAAAAAAAAAAGAATAACAATTATCCTACGGTAATATCTAATTACGTTTGATTGCTTAATGACTTTCTCTTCTCGGAGTCCATTTCCCGGGGTACCTCTCCCTTCGATTTCGCGACGAAACGGTCAGCCGTTGACGGGGGTACGGAGAGCAGCCGGGAGTGGAGACGCGCGCGTAATTCATCGACGGAGTGGACGCGCGCGACGTTTGACAGCGGCGAGCGCCAGTGACAGCGCGCGCGGCCGACTACGTCACATTCGCGCGCCGCGGCCGGCCGGAGTGACGTAGCGTGTCGTCGCTCTCTTCTTTCGCTTATCAACGCTGTTAATCGAAGGCGTAGCGCGCGCGCGCGCGCTCTCTCGCGCCCCCGCCGATATCTCTCCTCTCGGACGCTCCGCGTACGAAAATATGCGCGACACGCCGAGAGAGTAGTCGGTTAAAAGCCGAGGCCGGCCCCGAGCCGTGGAGAGTTCAGAGGCGCAACGTAGCGAGTAAAACTGTCTGCCCCCTCGCGGTGCGCGCCCGCGGTTCTCCACCTCCCGATCGCTCATGCACTTCTCCCGAGCACTCCCGACCGTGCGCCGTCAAGTTCTTGCCCCCTTCCCCTAGCCTCCCCCCCCACTCCTCCTCCGTCACCGCGCTCGCTTCCTCCCCCGCGCGCGCGTGTTTGCCCCTTCGTCGCCCTTCCGCTCCCTTTCTCCACCTCGCCGCTTTAAGGTCCTCCATTTTGTGTGTCGTGATTCCTCTAACTCTAAACGTGTATTTTGGACATTTCCTTTTCGCACCGCCCGCGGCGGGGCAGTGCGCGAAATTTCCTCTTTATCGTTGACACACCGTCGATCGGCCTCGGGACGGCGATTACTATGGGATTCAACCATAAGTCGTCGTGGAAGGTGTCAATCTTTCTCTCTCTCTCTCTGTCTCTCCCTCCCTCCCTCCCTCCGCTCTGTTCCGTCCGACACCCCTTCCCCTCTCGTTCGCTTCATAAGTCTTTCTCTATCCCTCCAGGTTTGTGTTCTCTCTAGAGCGTAAATCGTGTCTTTTTAATAAACACGCACGATTGTCGTCGAGCTGGTAGCGTCGTACGCCGGGTTTTCGCGTAGCGTAACCTCTCTCTTCTCGCTCCCAGTTCGTTGTCATTTACCATCTCTCTCTCGCGATCGGATTCGTCGTCGTTCGCCTCGTCGTCCTACGACTCGACGTCTTTACAATGTGGTGGCGACGTGCCGTACCCTCGATAACGGTCAAATCGCACAGGCGCTCTTCGTGACTGTAGTCCATCGCTATTTGGTTCGTTGCATTTATTTTTTTCTTTCCTCTATTCTGTTTGTCTTCTCCGTGGCCGTTCTTGTTCTCGTGTCTCTCGCCAACTTGTGCTCGCGGTGTGTAATCTTATAGCCGCGACGCCTTCTGCTTTCAGATGTCTGCTGGGTCACAAATTCAGATGGCACCCCAAACAACCGTAAACTCTGGTCAGACAGTTCATAGTCAAGACTCGAACATGAGCACTGGTAAGTCAGAAAATTTTCTTTTCAATAATAATACAATTCTTACTCTGAATAATCTTGTCGGTACATAATTCTTGGTCCTTTGGGTAATTTGTTAGAAGGATAAAGTTTACATGTTTCGAAGACTTTTTTACACTCTTTAAATTATTTATTATAATTATTCATATGTTAGATATTTGACACTTCTAATGAGAGTGTAATTATCAATAGGCTCATCGCATAGTGATAAGGAGGTGGATGCAAACACTCCGGAAAAAGTACCAAGGACTACTTCTGAGAGGAAAAGAAAACGTAAGGCTGATGACGGAGGTGGGGGTGTTCCAAGTGGCTCTGTAACGAATAAGGGCGCTAGATCAGTCGCGGTCCTTGATAATAAAAAGATCAATGAGTATTTCCCAAAGCATCATCTGGGAAATAGTCCTATTCGCCATGGTGGTGCCAAGAGTCCCTCTCCTCAACAGGGTTATCCCATGGTAAGAGTCGAGATAAATGTTAATATATATATATATATATAGATTGTCACAACAACAGCTTTGTGATTTATGTGTAACATCTGTATTTTCTTGTCAACAGTATCCACCATCGCCTCAACAGTTACTTTCACCACAAGTAACGACACCTAATGCTTCGGTGGCTGAATTCTCTTCGTTGATGCAGCCACCAAGACCTCATCCTCAACCTCCACCGCCTCCACCGCCAGCTTCGACACAACCTGCGGGTTCGATGGTCAGCAAGCAGGTGCAGGTAAGGCCTACCAACCTCAATAGGACAAGCCAGGTCAGGCAAGCGAAGATTAACACCCCAAATGTAAGCAAAATTCGGTAATATCTGCAAGCATTTTATAAGAAACAACCCATGTGTATCAGTATCTCCACCACAATCAGTAATTTATTATAAAGATATGGAAGCTTTAATTTCTTAAAATTTTCCTATTGGTAACATCTAACAAATCATGACAGTTTTACCATTGAGCCGGATAAAGAAAGGAATAAGTAGAATTGTGTTGTTATTCTTAACTTAAAGTACACTAATAGGAATAAAATGATTGTCAAATCAAAGATTTTTATAGTTATTCTTTTCCAAGTCTGTCTTTAGTTAATCATTTGTGCAAAAACAAAATAATAAGATGGTATTAACAGAAAAATATTATTGCAAAAAATTACCTTTCTTTATATTTTTGTAACATTACAATTATATTACATTGTGTTTGTAATCTGTGAAATACTACACACAAATAGATTGTCTTCCATTTATGTGACCTGTGGGTGATGGGCATTTCTTGTCAAATGTTTGCAATAAAATTAGCTAATTTTCGGCCAAACTGTAGCACTGTATACATTTGTTATTGTACAAATACAGGCTATCTTGTAGTGCCACTCTTTCTTATTTACGAGACACTTGTGTCTTTAAAAATCCAATAAAGCGGTTTTTTTTTTTTTTTTTTTTTTTTTAACGAAAAACTCAATTATTGGTTACTCGAAACATAAAGCAAGCATTAAAGGCATATTTTATTACTTTGGCGTATGCACATTTAGTTCTTGGGATTCATTGAACATTGCATTTGAGTTCTAATGAATCCAATATTCTTTGATTGTTTCAATATAAAATCTATTAAGAATTCTTTTGGGGTTGTGTATTAATTGACGTTTACACGAGCATCATTTATATATGCATACATTTTTGGTGTTTTCCTTGCTGCCTGTGTGTGATCCTCAGTTTTATCAGCGTTTGCCTGAGTTTTGCTAATTTATTTTCTATAATCAAGCAGAAAAGTCACACGTGTGTAGTGAAATATAGCATTGTTATATCATTAAACAGATAGTTTTCTTTGTCAAATAAATATGCTGGATATAAATTGTTGACAATATGTTAAATTATACATTCTTATACATTAGGCTCTTTCTGCGTGCAGCAAGGTATCCAGTATTTACTACGAGCAATGCTGACAAATGTATCAGATGTTATGGTAATATGCTTCATTTATTGTAAAATTATACAAATTGCATTTCAGACAGAACTTACTTGCCAGAGGATACAGGAATTCGAAACTCAAGCCTCTTCAGACTTAGAATTACGTAACAACAAAATTGACGAATTAAATAGGGTAAATATAATTGTAATTTTTTATGTATATATTTTTGTGATCTATTCAAATTCCACTATATCCTCTCTTATGTCTTATGGCATTAAATTATATGTAATCTGTATTATATGTAATGTAATCTGTTATAGGCGAGTTATATATCGTCTTCATTATCAGTCATTGCACTATGATAATTGAATTTATATATAAAGATATTCTGTTTACTTTTGTTACAGACGACGGACGAACTTAGGCATCAAATTGCTAATCAACAAAAAGTGATTGAGCAACATAAATCACATATAAATAAGTGTATAGACGTTGTAAAGAAGTTATTAAAAGAAAAATCAAACATAGAAAAAAAGGAGGCTAGGCAGAAGTGTATGCAAAATAGACTAAGGTTGGGTCAATTTGTGACGCAAAGGGTGGGCGCGACTTTTCAAGAGAACTGGACCGACGGTTACGCGTTTCACGAACTTGCTCGGCGGCAAGAGGAAATAGCGACCGAACGGGAAGAAATCGACAAGCAGAAGAAGCTGCTGCTCAAGAAGAGGCCGTCGAACAGCGAGACCGGCAGGAAACGTAGTCAACCGCAACCTTCCTTGCATAACGGCACAGAAGCAACGTTTTTGAAGCCGGATGCAGTACCTGGGTCATATACGTGGCAGGAGTATTATGAAGCTGACGAAATACTCAAGGTACATCGCGATCACAATCATTCCTTAAGATATTTCGAGACTTTTATTCTCAAACTTTATCATAATGTGTCTGCAGTTAAGACAAAGCGCGTTGAAGAAAGAAGACGCGGATCTGCAATTAGAAATGGAGAAGCTCGAAAGAGAGCGGAACCTACACATCAGAGAATTGAAGCGTATTCACAACGAGGACCAATCGAGATTCAATTCCCATCCTGTTTTAAATGAACGTTACCTTCTGCTCATGTTATTAGGAAAGGGCGGCTTCAGCGAAGTGCATAAGGTGACGAAACAAATTTCCATCATATTCATTTCAATAATTATATTAATCTGTACACAAGTGTGTGAGAATATTTAATTTATTTATTCTTTCCGTACCCCGTGTGCGGATTTTTTTCTCTCTTTTCTACAGGCTTTTGACTTAAAGGAGCAACGGTACGTGGCTTGTAAGGTGCACCAATTAAATAAAGACTGGAAAGAAGATAAGAAGGCTAATTACATAAAGTGAGTATCTTCGAGTATCTATCGTTGTTTATCACAATTGTAATTATCATAGAAGAGCACTTTAAAAAAGATTTCTATCTATTATTTTCTATTACAACAGGCATGCATTACGAGAATATAATATACACAAGGCATTGGATCATCCGCGAGTTGTAAAATTATATGATGTATTTGAAATTGATGCCAATTCCTTTTGTACTGTTCTGGAATATTGTGATGGTCATGATTTAGATTTTTACCTCAAACAGGTATGCATAATTTATTTAATCGTTACTTTACGCAAAATGTCGTATAATCGTGTGTTTATTATTTTTCAATCTTATATTCCAGCATAAGACTATACCCGAGAGAGAAGCGAGATCTATTGTTATGCAAGTCGTATCGGCATTAAAGTACCTCAATGAAATAAAACCCCCAGTCATACATTATGATCTAAAACCAGGTAAACTTATTATATTAAAGGAGAACTTTATGGAGAACAAACTTGTTGAAAAAGTTTACTTTTGTTTTTAAAGTGAGTAAGCAAATAGTCTCATTGTTTGATGCTCTTGTTTGCAGGTAACATTTTGTTAACCGAAGGTAATGTGTGCGGCGAAATAAAAATCACAGACTTTGGTTTAAGTAAAGTTATGGATGAGGAAAATTATAATCCAGATCACGGAATGGATCTAACATCCCAAGGAGCGGGTACTTATTGGTACGTGTTTTTCTACACTTTTCTAAATTATTTTATTATATTTACATTAAGCCTTATTAGAAATTATCAAACTTGTATACATATCATAGGTATCTACCTCCTGAATGTTTCGTCATTGGCAAAAATCCTCCTAAAATATCGTCCAAAGTTGATGTCTGGAGTGTAGGAGTTATATTCTACCAATGCCTATACGGTAAAAAGGTATTTATCGTGATACAGATTTATCGCATATAAAATTCGTCGTTCGTTCTTTGCGAGTATAATAAAAATTGCAAATATCTTTCATCACATTTTCGCAGCCCTTCGGTCATAATCAATCGCAAGCCACCATATTGGAGGAGAATACGATATTGAAGGCCACAGAAGTCCAGTTTGCGAATAAGCCGACCGTCAGTAACGAAGCGAAGGTAGTGTTAGCAATCTAAATTTATGTTTATAGAAATGAAAATATGTCGCTCTACAATGCAACGATTTGTTGTTGCAGAGTTTCATAAGAAGTTGCCTAGCGTATAGAAAGGAGGAGCGCATAGACGTACTGACATTAGCTAGACACGAATACCTACAACCCCCAGTGCCAAAACATGGCCGCCAAGCGAACAGCCAGCAGCAACAGCAACAGCAGCAAATACAGCAGCAGCAACAGAGTTCGTTCAATATCGGCATGTTTAGTGGTATGAACGCGTCGAGCAGTTCGTAGTGGAGAGGAAGAACTAAGGACGAAATCCTCGATATATACTAATACATGCCAAATCTTGAGCGCTCGGACTGTGCACACCATCTCATCTTAGGGAAATAACGATTACTATAATCAATTGTAAATACTAAAAACCGGATACTATCACCGTCACTACCACCCACCACTACTACCACTACCACCACCACCACTACTATTACCATAACTACCACCGCCATCACCACACCGTCACAACTATACTTACAGGATCGACTACATAGGACATTGCAAGAGAGATGCGAGACTGGTCATCCGCAAGTCCAGAAGCTTGCGTCTTTCTACAAGCCACGCCACATTATTCAGCATGACAAAAAAAACAATGTTGTGTTCGTAAATATTCAATTGTATTATCGTTCCTTGTATCAAACAGTGCGCTGACTTGATAATAGTGTTTAAAAGAAACGAGAGAACGAGAGAGAACGAACGAGCGTGCGAACGAGAAAATAACATGTGATATGTCATTATGAGTTAAAAAGTGACGCTTAGATTAAGGGGGAGGGGGGAATTTAGAGTATGAGAGAGCGAGAGAAAGAGAGAGAGAGAGACTACGAATAAAATGGCTAAAAAACGATAAGAATTTTTCCGAGTGGAAGCAAAATCAAGTCGATGAAATGAAGAAAGCAACGAAGAATAGGAGAAAAAATAGGAAGAAAACGAGAAAAGCAATCGGAGCAATCGCTTTTACGGAGACAACGTTTTCCTCTCTCCTGATGTTTTAGTGTGTATGAGTGAACGCTAGAGGATTGTTAAAATTAGTGTGAATGTATATATTTATACTATATATATATATAAATATATATATATATATATAAACTAATAAATCCGACATAATATATATATATATATGGTGTAAAAAGGACGACGACAAACATTGACAGTGGGAAGACAACTGTGGTGGCTCTATCCTCGCATGACCTCCGGCGCTGGTTTCCGGCATTCCATGAATGCTCGGCCTGCGTATCATGTTACTTTATTCGAATATTAACATTATTACCTGTATCATGACTAATAACGACTAACATACACGCGCATCCACACGAAACATATACACGACACGATTACACGAAGGAGATTTGATTGGTTGTTCCTATTCTGAAACGAGAGTGGGCTTTATATCTATAATGCCGGAACGAATAGTCTGATAGAAAGAGTGAAATGAGAGAAAGGCAGAGAGAAAGAGAGCGAGCGAAAGAGAGAGAAAGAGAGAGTCGCGATGTGCTCCCAAAGTGAAAAAATTTATAGGATCGTAGTCCACTATTCGCCATCATTTAAAAAAGAAAAAGAAACGTTTTCACGCGTGTATGGTTTAAAAAAAACCCGCGACGAGATTTGCAGTATCGAAGCGCGCCGCGCATATTATGTTTTCCCTTCTTCACTCTACCTCCTCTTTTCTTTTGTCTCCTCTCCCCCTTTTTTCTCAAAAGAAATCGGAAGAGGGAGAAAAAAGGAAAGAGAGAGAGAAAACGGATCCAAATGTGTGTGTATAGAACAAGTTTCGCGCAAATGGCTAAACACAATAATAAACTAATCTGGCGACAGTTGAAAGAAAGAAAAAAGAGCAAATTTTTAAGGACAAGAGCCGCGAAACGCTATACCGACCCGATCATTATTTCTTTACTCGTAATTTGTTTTATATATATGTATGTTATATATAGATAATTATGAAATAGAAGACTAAGTTATTTTATCAAGTGCCCTTGCTTTGTATTATAGTCGCGTCCGTCGACGAGCCGTAGCTTCTGGGAGTAAAAGAGAAAAAGGAGAAACGGAATGTGTTGAGAGTGAACGAGAGAGCGAGAGAGAGAAAAAAAGAGAGACTGAGAGTGAGTGAGTGCGTGTGTTGTTAAAAAAAGTGTTGCGTCAGTTGTTGGTACAACGTGGGCACCAGGTATTGATGACGGCTCAATACCATCAATGTGATTGGCAAAAGTGTGGTGAGAGAGGAGAATACAATTACAAGTCTGAACAGAGAGTCTACTACTACTTAGATCCGCCGCTTCAATTTTGACAAAAAAGAGAAAAAAAGAAGGAAAAAATGCCAACCGTTCCCACATCCCTTATCCTACTTCTCGTGAAAAAAAAAAGAGACACGCAGTCGCGAATGCATTTTTTTCTTTTAGCAAAGCATATTATCTTTTGACGATTTATTCCTACGATACAATTCCGAAATGGCATAATTTTGCATCATTGCTCAATGTAAATTTTTGTTTCTCTATGAGAACTGACGTAGATTTAAAAAAAAAAAAAAAATTTTTTGTTGACTCGAGGAGAGAGATAGAGAAGGCGAAGCAAAATGTTTAAAATAGTAAAAATAAATGGAAGAATTGTCATTCGCATATCTTACGATTATATCGTTTTAACTTCGAATTAAATAGAGCTTATATCTTTCGAAATTGTTATAACCGGCCTTAAGATAATTGTCCGAAGGTATAATTCGATGAATATTTATGCCATATCAAATATCTTTTTTTGTTACCATGATAAAGGTACTCGATGCTCGTATACTTTGTGACAGGAAGGATTTTATATTTGTACATATCTTAGGAATCTTCATATGGGAAAAGGTAATTGATGGACTAATCGCATGCATTCAAAATAGGAACAGAGAGAGAGAGATAGAGAGACATTTTTTTCCATTATTTTAACTGCGAGCATAAATAGAAAGGAGAAAAATATCTTCTTATCGCTTAAGGTATTCTCACGACCTACACACTGTCAAATATAATAAATTTTTTTTAATCTGCCCCTGCGTGTCGGCATAGTCACGATCTTCCTAAAGATAAAATGAAGTAAAAGAAACACTGGAATTGCGTCGAGGATGGTGTATGAAATGTTATAGCAATAAATTTACGTATTTGTGTATAATTTAAAAAAAATTAGTAAACTTATTAATTAAATATAAATCTCACGCATCTCTCTCTCACGGTGTGTATTACCCCTCGCTGCTTTTCTTTTCTAATGAACAAACATGTTAAACAATGAATTATCGAGTCTAAAAAGATAAAACATTTTATTGATATATCTATTTCGTGTATGCGAATTATATAAAAATGAAAATCGCTGAAGATACAAAGTATTGATTAGGCTGAAAAAACGCGCGCGCGCGAGGGATATATCATATAGTCGAATGGTTTCGACAAATTTATATAATAATCGGCTCTCTCTCTGAGTATCGAAATATACTCACTTAACAGCAAGTGCATAAGTCGCCGCGCTAATTTCAATCATTGATTCTTTTTTTCTTATCCTACGAATGAACGATTATATAGAACTAGTGCATATATATATATATATATATATATATATATATATATATATATATATATATATACACACACATATATATATATACAGTCAGAAATTGAATTTTGATGAACACCAGTAAAAGTCAATTAGTTTCCTCAATTTTTCATATGTGAATTATTATAAAATTGCGAAAAAATATCAATTGTACACAAGAGAGAGAAAGGGAAAGAGGAACCTAATTATATCAGGGAAATTAATCGTAACTTTCAATTTTTCACACTTAATCTTTTTCCTGACTGTAGTTTCAATTATGATTCTCTGTTCTTATCACACCATATGGACTTTCGCTCAGCATTTTAGACTCAAAAAAACTTCTTTGTTACCTACAATGAAACACGAGCACGAAGTAAACTTATTTTATTCTACGTGTGGTCAGTATGAAGTTAAAAATAAAACGTCCGACAGTTTTAGCTTAACCGATATTTGAGCGCCGCATAGTCGTAAGATCCGTTCTATGTATATATGTATAATAGACATTTACCGCTGTGTATAATTTTCTTTAGTCTTTTAGATAACCTTGGAAAAAACCATATTGTGACGCGTATGTAAAAATATATTTAAATTGTGTATATTTCATATTTTTCTTTCTTTTCATTTTTTATAAAACATTTTCCGGGATAAGTGTACGTCTCTTTTCTTTTTCAAGTTTCACCGAAGACAAATGAGATTCCGGCGGCGAGGAGTGTAACACGACAAAACGCATAACAATTGTGCGATAATCGTGAGATCTGGAAAGGACTGATCCCTTTGCATTGCGCGGTGCTAATTAATCTATCTAGACAATAGTAGACAGTGCTGGACGTTCCCTTCGCAAGATATGAGCCATGTATTTTATTTTCTTATAGGTTTTTCTCTTGGAAAGAAAGCTAACATGTGATCACAAATATAACACAACATGATCTTTGTGAATGAACAATGAATTTTTTTTCAGGAAGGACTCAAATCACGCGACGAGATTCGTGTGTAATGCAACTAATGTACGTCCTGTAGCGCCGTCCATTGCGTTTATTAGTTTTGCGAAACCGCATTCACAACACTATGCGTACTCGAGTAAACTTATATACAAGATTGTACGATGCGTTCTTTAAAAAAGAACACCCTAAAGTTTAAAAATGTCGCTCGAGTAAATCTTTCGAGTTTATGATTCGAGTAAATACGTCGAGAAACACATTTCTTTTTAAATACGTTTGGCAGATTCCAGTACACACTTCACGTAAAATTACTACTAGTGTCACGACTGACCTCGATGAAGACGAAATCTTATTACAATTCTTCGATTAAATTCTCTCTTCGTAACGATTCCTTGCGCATTCAGAGATTTATGCTCTAAACTAGGCTCTCTAGTCGATCACACTCGTCTCCGACAAAGCGCGAACGGAACATCTCTTTCAATCTGAGTCTTCGTCGTCGTCTGATTTGAGCGCGTAAGATACTGGCTTCCGAGCTCGACCCACAAGTTTGCGTGGCGGCGGCGAATCATCTATCACATTGTCTTCCTCGGAATCGGATTTCTTCTTCTTTTTCTTCTACAAAAAACAAGAACCAATTTCAAATTAGCGGACAAAAATCTTGCAAAACAAACGTAACAAATGTATCGATCTAAGACTGTTGTCGCACTTACTGTAATATTTTGTTTCGTAAATATGTCGTCCGTATCAGAGTCGTCGGATGATTTTGATTTTTTCTTTATCTTTCTCTTCAAACCTTTGCCGTTTTCGGCTTTCTTCTTAGCAGGTGCTGTAACGTAAAAGAGTACGGATTTAATGATTACACAGAATAAATTCTACTTAGTCATCTGACGAAATTAACGTCAATTACCCTTTTTAGGTGGCGTAAACTTTGCAGGAGAATCTTCTCCGGATGAGGATATTATAGATTTCTGTTGTTTCTCCGGAGAAGAAGAATTGCCGATCAACGAATCAAATAGTTCTTCCGAAGTTGCTGTAAAAATGAATAAGCAATCAGCACTTTGTTTCATATATAAATATTATATGTGTAATTTATTAATAATATAATATGCGCGCTTACGGGTTGGTTGAGGTTTTTTACTCGGCTTAAAGTTGTCGTCGGAATCGCTTAGTGCTATGAAATCTTTCTCTTTCTTCTTGGATCTGTAAACAAAAATATACAATCACAAATGGAGTTCTGAATGATCGGTTATAATATTGTATGTGATAATTATACATACACTTGTTCAGAGTCGGAAGATTTGAGACTGAACATTTCATCATCATCTGATTCTTCACTGCTCAGGTTATAATTCTTCTTGACTGTATTCACAAATAAATTTAGCGAATAATAACAATACAAAATACAATATATACTGTTTTAGTAAGCTTTGGATCAACAAAAAAACGATCGATACCTGCATTTCTGCCAGACGACCGGGCGGCTACCTGCGGAGTTGGCGAGATGCTGCTGAAATCGATTTCATCATCACTCTCGTCTGAATCCTTGTCTTTCTTCTTCGCTCCTTTCTTGATTGGCTTGAATGGCAACGTTGATTGCTTCAATCCTATTTACAATTATGAAAGTATATATTGTTAAAAATGTTTACTTGAAAATACATAACATGCAAGCGAATGCAAGTACTGAATACCGACCTTTTTTTCCAGCTACTTTCTTTTCTAACTTTTCGGGAGACGTTCCAAGCCTTTGTTCGAGGGATTTGGTATTTGAATCAACTAACGTATCAAGTTCGTCTTTCTCTTCGACAGAAATTGGCTCTTTCTTCACCTGATATAAAAGATTTACAGAGATATAATAACAAACTAGATATTTAAAAAATTATAAATCAAGATAATATATAGTAGACTTACCCTTGGTTTCTTTATTATGCCTTCCTTCTTATCTTTTGATACAATATCTGCTTTTTCTATCTTTTTCTTCAATTCAACATCAATAGTGGGAATTATACGACGAGTATCTTCATTTTTGTAGAATCTTGAAGGCGGTTTTTTGGTGGTTTGTTTTGCTTTGTTCTCTTCCTTCTGCTCCTTTTCTTCCAACTATATACAAAAATCACGTGACAATTACTTTCATTTCGAAAGAGGAGAAAAAGATAAATGTACCTTATTTAATTCAGCCAAAAGATTATCCAGATCCTCTTTCCACAAAGAGATCGGAGTGCGAGCTTGCAGTCGTTTTAACTCTGCTAACTTCTCATCCCGTTGTCGCAATAATTCATCCTTCTTTTCCTTTGTTAGACTCCACATTGTCATTCCGAGAAGATAGTCGAAATTCTCCTTCTCTATCGCCGACGTGGTCGGAGCATCATCTTCTTCTGCGACTTCTTCCTATTCGTTTACAATTAAAATAATTGGTAAGACTTCATATTTAATAATAAGGTTTTTCAGAGATAATCATAATTTAAAGCCCTTTAAACAAAAGTTTCTCATTCATTTTTATTAAACGGCAAAAGTTTTTGCGCCGAAAAATTTATCCATTAGAAAACGTTTGCGTTCATTGAAAAACTTTTTCAATTATGAGCTACGACATTGAAAGTTTTTTTTTCTATATTAACTTACTTGATCTTCCTAATGCAGCGAAATAGATAAATACAAATAAGTAAAAATATGATTTATTTGCAGATATACAAACTTTTCAGACAAAATTTTACTCACCAACACTTGCTCTCTATTTTGTGATAATTTCCAAACCATGACCGGATCCGAATCGTAATTGCGTCTAACCAATTCCGCTATCATGTCCTTTTTCTTCTTATTTTCTACTACTAGAGTGCCATCGCATTTCTCGAGAATAAAACGGCCCTGATTTGACAGCTTAGCTGACTCCGCCTTTAAAATTCCTTCCAAGTAATCTTTTCTCTTATGATACATTTCCAGACGTACTTTATAAAACCCTTTAAATATCTGTATCACGTTATCGTATTTGTTCAAACAATGATTTTCGTCGAATGCGCACTGTAACAAAAAGATGTCGCATTGAATTCCTCTTCTTTATTTACAGCTCGTGCTATATCAATATATATGATCTACATACCATAGATGTTATTGTCGTAGTTGTTTGGATTTTAAACGCTTTATGAAGACCATCCCTTTCTAACTCCAATAATTTGTCACGATTCATGATTACTATAAAGTGCACTGCCGTATCTGTGTTGTATTCTTTATAATCACTGAAAAAATAAAAATAGAAAGAATTACCATAAATCATTGAATTAATTATATAATATTGTAGTAGTCAAAAGAATATGTATGCGAGCACAGGAATGTATCGTGAATGAACAAAATAACTCAGTGATTGCTTTAAGAGATTTTAAATTTGAATTCCAATATGGCTTTAATATTGTTTTCTGCTCATGAAGATTTACAATACTTACGTGATGATAGCTGGCGTTTTATCAGTTCCGTGTAACATGGGCTCTAACACAGTTTCTTTATAGGTTTGCGTCCATGTACCAATAGGAAGTTCAGTGATTTCCACCTTATCGGGTCCAATCACTGATATCTCTCCGCTTATAACGTAACGATACTCGCCACAGCTCTCCACGACACCTTTGAAATTTTTGTAGTATGGTGACTAAAAAATAAATTAATTACATGACACAATTAAAAATTGATAAATATCAATACTTTTTTGTGAGAAAAACACTCTTCCATTCTTTATTTTTAAATAATTTAATATCAAATATTGTACCATGGGTTTCGGCTCCGCACCGTCCATCATTTTATGAAGATTTTCAATAATTTCACGAGGATTATAATTTGGAATCTTTGTCATCCATCCAGTACCGATGCCATCGGCGCCGTTCACCAACACCATAGGAATCACAGGCACGTAAAAGATAGGTTCGATCTTTTGATTATCATCATAATCGTGTCTCAGTAGAGCATCATCATGTTTATGAAATATGTACCTTGCCAGTGGACTGTACAAAAGAAAAAAGGAGAAAGTAAATTGCAAATGAACATATACAATTTTTTTTTACTTCGTTCATCTAGTATATAAGAATGCGACAAATACCTGAGCATCGTGAAAATATATCTCGGACTGGCGGCATCTTTTCCTCCGGCGAGCCTTGTACCAAACTGACCGATAGGCTGTAGAAGATTAATATTGTTGCTACCGACGAAATTTTGAGCAAGATTAATTATAGTCGCCATCAGGGACGTCTCGCCGTGATGATAAGCTGAGTGCTCGGCAACTGAACCCGCCAATTGTGCTACTTTTATTTCGCGTTTGTCGTTACGCTTTAAACAGGTGTAGATGACTTTTCTCTGGCCTGGCTTAAAGCCGTCAATCATATTCGGGATGGATCTCACGTTGTCGTAATTGCTGTACAATACCAACTCGACATTGACGAAATCCGAAAAGGAAACAGTGCGTGTATCCTTTTCGTAGAGATAACGCTCGCCGAGGCCGATCTCCTTTCGCCTCTTTGTCTCGTTCATATGGTTCATCAGCCAATCCTTACGTTGGTCGACGCATTTCTTACTGAATGCCATGATGATGTTCTGATCGTCTTGCTCGCCCTCGTATCGAAAGCGTATTCTGTGTCTGGCCATATTTTCAAAGTACTCCTTCGCCTCTTTGGCGGTAGAAGTACCCAAACCTATACAAATTAAAAAAAAAATTGTTAAATATAAATTCTATATATCGTAATGGTTAATGAAATAACAAGAATCCCAGATTTTTAAGTAAACACCTTTGTAGTATTTGATCTTATACGTGTGGAAATTTTCCGTTTCCTTCTTCCACGCCTCGAATTCTGGCAACGAGAAGAAAGATAAAACTTGGCTACCCTTAGTGGCCTTCACGATAGGTGTAATAAACTCTTCGACAAAATTCAGCTTCAACAACGACGGCCAATTATGATGGATAAAATTTATCAAAAGGCCTTTGATATGTGAACCATCCTAAAAAAATAAAAATTTAATTATAAAATTTTTTGTTAAATATATATATATATATATATATAATTGGCGTCTCTTGTACGAAAAAGATTTAACCTGATCCTGATCAGTCATAATCATCATCTTTCCATAGCGCAACGTTTTTAAATCATCTCGAGTCTCGTATTTCTTTTTGTACTGAAGACCAAGGATTTTGATCAAATTGTTAATCTCAGCATTCTCTAGGATTTGTTTGTGAGTAGCCTCTCTTACATTTAGCAATTTACCTATATATAATCAAGATATCAATTATAATAAAGTATAAAGTTATATTTCATATTATAAAGTTATATTCATATAAGTATAAAGTTATATTATAGTATAAAGTTATATTCATATTATAAAGTTCAATTTTTTAAAATTTTTTTTAGCAAGACAAAATTACCTCTCAGTGGAAATATGCCATATTTATCTCTGCCTATGGAAGCAATGCCGGACACAGCCATTGTTTTGGCTGAGTCTCCCTCAGTTAATATGAGGGTGCATTCCAATGACTTCCCAGTTCCTGCATCATTAGCATCCTCTAACTTGGGTATACCATGAAGTTTCCTTTGTTTTGACTTTGGGCCCAATTTTTCAAGCTGACTCGCAGCTTTAAACTTTGCCCAAGATAGCACTGCCTCCACAACACCGATCTTCGTAATCTGTAATTCGAAAAAATGGTTAAAAATGTGTGCAGAAGTCGAAAAAAACGTTCGATATCAAAAATTTGCATTTACCGAGCCGATGAACTTATCGGTGAGCGTGCATTTGGAGCCAAAGCTTTTTGCCTGTAGAGTCATGTTTTCCTTGGTTTGCGAGTCAAATGTGGGATTATTGATGAGACAATTGATGAAGATCCACAAGTGATTCTTGATTTGAAACGGTTTAATGGCTACACCAGCCTTATTTTTCTTCTTTAATGTTTCAATCAATTGTTTGACTACCATGTCAGTCACATGATCGACGTGTCTGCCACCCTATCAGTATTAAGAGCACAATTTTACATTTTATAAAAAATTATTGCTACAAATATAATTATGTATACTATAATTATATATACTAATTACAAATATAGTTGTTCCCTTACCTTTGTTGTTGCGATACTATTTACAAATGACATTTGTTGAAATCCTTTGTCAGATAAAGTGAGAGCTACTTCCCAACGCGGATTGCAATTCTCATATACAACTTTCAATGGATTGCCAATATCATCGTCTTTTCCTTTAATATAAAAATCAACATAATCTTTGAAATTCTTTACTGGAATACGAGTTCCATTCAGATAGACTTTAACGCCTTTTGAGGACGCAGCTACATCATATGCTCTTCGAGACATCAAAGATACAATATCGTTGTCGAGAGATTCCATATTAAACTTTGTTAAGTCTGGCGAAAACGTGACCTTGGTGAAATCTTCTCCAGAATATTCTTTAATCCTAGGTTCGCTAGCTTTTCCCATATTATTGCCCCATGTCTACATCAGAGGAGTAAAACTGTTAATATATGATAGTATACCAATAGTATAATAGAGATCATTAGAATATTGATGAATTGCACTCACTTGCTTCAAACATTTCTTGTATTCCTTGGTTGCTGTCTCAACGGTAAAACGATGACTAAAAATATTACACAACTTGGCGCCATAACCATTTCTGCCACCAGTCACCTTCTCTTCTTCATCATCATAATTTGACGATGTTAAAAGATGACCAAATATCATGGTGGGCACATACATGTTCTCTTCTTTGTGTATTACTACAGGAATGCCTTTTCCATTATTCCACACGGAAATAGTGTTATTCTCACTGTAAAACAATGTTACAACATAAAATTTACTCAGTGATATAATTTATATTAAAATTTTTTCAAACAAAATAATTCCAAAATTATTTTATATAACTTACGAATCAATATCAATCTTGATCATGTCCATCTTTGGATCGCGCTGCTTGTTATCAGCAGCATTTACCAGAATCTCATCAAAAATTTTGTACAATCCAGGAACATATTTAATTTCCTTCTGAACCATCATATCCTTCTCCTTGTCAAAAATCCACATTGTTTCTGTTACCGGTTGTACAGATCCAATATAGGTGTCTGGGCGCAATAGAATATGTTCCAACTGCGACTTCTTTTGATAAGTACTCTCGATGGTCTTCTTAGCCGGCTTGCTGTCGCCAGCCCCATTTTCTACAGCTGTACTCATCTTGACGCACTGTATCTTCAGATATCTACAAGTTAACAATAAACACATTATAATACAGACACTTATAATGAAGAGATTTATAAGCGAATTTTACTACTCTAAAAAAATTGAAACAAAATATATCTTGCAAGAACTATTTTTTTAAAATCATTAAACAAGAGAGCTTAAAATTAGACTACGTTTTGGACACTCGCAATATTTGTGAGATTATTTCATCCTTGACCGAAAGATAAATAGAAACAAATAACGTTTCGCGAAGAAAGTAGTAATTTCAATGATCCCAAACTGTGTCAAACTATCACTTTTGTATTCGAGATCGAGTTCAGATTGAAATATATTTCGCTCGCGGGTACGAAAATTATTACCGAAGGTGCGAGAGTCCACGTTGGAGAGAGCTTTGAAAAATATGGCGGGAAAAGGCAGTCATCTAATTAGCGCGGTTCCGAGGGGACGATGACGCCGTTTGTTTTCAAGTCGGAGAGACAACCATCCCTCCCCCCCCTCTTCGCCTCTCGACCCCTCAGACGATGGCGCGAAAGATTCAGCCTCGCTGGATTATCTGGACTTCGCGGACGAGGACACTGGAGTAGGAAGGACCGACAACGTACCTTCAACGACTACGTCTCGACGACGACAAGGATGCGCTGTCCGTTGAGAAAGCGTCGGTTGGTTCTAGGACCGCGGGACGTTCATTCGCGAGACTGCGGATGCTAATTATTGGCATATCACAGACGCAGGGAACAGGCGTCGTCCTAGACCCGGACGATGAGACGACGACGACAACGGCAACGACGATGATTTCGCGATCACTCTGATTTCGCTTCACTCGTTCGCGCCGGCGACCATTATCAGTCCCAAGCTAGAAGTCGCTTGTATGAAAATGTATATATCGCACACACTATACTCTATTCCACCGATTATATCCACCGACCGTGTCCAAATAACAAAAGATGCGACGCGGAGGCGCCAGTCTGCTCCTCCATTGGCGGAGCGAACTGTCACGGTGTGTCAAAATAATAGAGATGCGGCGCGGAAGCGTCAGTTGTTATCCCACCAATGACGCGCACAGTCACGGTGTAGAAATATTATAGATACGATCCGAATTTGTCCAGTTCATAGAGATATGAAAATGGCGCGCACAGTAACCGTGTAGATATTATAAATAATAGCAGAGAGAAATCTCTCTGATAATATATATTACCGCCTCGAGGATTTGTCTTGATTAGTCTCAATTAAATGCTATTCTGATAATAGATTGTCGCAATCATAAAGAATTTTTATTTTGTCTAGAATTCACGAATTATATCAGCTGATAGCGTTTTAAATTTGGAAAAATATAGATATATAAAATAAAAATTAAATGTGTAATTAAAATAAGATTATATGTATATTTCAAAAATCTATTCAATAATTGATAAGATCTTATAGAGCAGTTCAATATCAAGATTGATATTGATTACAATTGTTTAAGAAAAATCGTTTCACCATTTCTCATTCTCTTTATAAATGGTTGTTTATTGTTGACTTTCTTGAATTTAATCTAATTATATGAAATAAAGTCAGGAAGATAGGTGAGGTATAAAGGAAATTATTTTAAATACGCAAATAATTCCTCAATAATGACGCACATATTCTTCCGATGAGAAGAGGCACGTTGTCGTGCTTACATTGTATATTTTTATACAACTAATTCTTATTTCATTTCATATATCTATCGTACGGCGACATTACTTCTTGTAGGATTGTTATACTGTTAGATACTTCATTTCGTTTTATTCGGCATTACAGTCAAAAAAAAATATATATTATGATTTTATATGCTTGCTTTTCTACCGCAAACGCATTATTAAAAAAGAGAAAACCGACACAAGCTCGTATTGCAAACGGCAGAAAGGAAAGCATATAGATATAAAATAATAAATTGGACTTAAATACAAAATGAAATCGCTACTGTTATTTCCATCGTAGGTTTCGGTGATTGTGATTTTCGGTTAGCAGTTGTCCACATTGTCGAAAAATTGTCGAAATTCTTGCTAGGAGGGGCGCGGCTTAATGGAATGATAATTGGACGAATGAAGAGATCGGTAGTAGAGTGAGGAAGAGTACCTGTGAAAAAAAGATCAAACGGACCGTACATGTGTGTTGCGTGTATATTTGTAATTTTTTTCTTATAAATTATATTACAAAATATATATTAATCTCGGGCGCCGTGAAATTGGATTAAAAAAATCCTTTACATTGATTTAAATAAATTCATGCTTTTACAAAAAAATGGAAATAATAAACATCGATACATTCACAAATGTGTGAGGCGAGATTGAGAATGAGAAAAAAAGAGATTGCCGCTCTATTTCTAAGAGTGCGAGAAAGTTCCAAGAGCGCGGCAACTCACCAGCAATTACAACGCGATTTGCACTGCTGTTGCGAATGAGGATTTTCGTTAATAGGGCTGGTGCCTCTGGTTTTGGCGACCACCACCTCCTCTCTGCTTACCGCCATAGCCCGAGCCACCTGAAACAGTATTGATATTGTGTCATTAATCTCTACACTTATCTAAGACACAATTTATATATATATATAATATGCATAATTATTATAATTACATACACGAGCGCGAGCAGGCGCGCACACACACATACAACATTATACAAGATGGATTTTCAAGTATAAAACATAACATACGCGCACCTTGATGAGAGGATATTACTATACACTATAGCTACTGACAACAATCAGGTATACTACACGGAAGAAGATGCTACAGATAATAAATATAAGAACAATGAGGCTACAGACTAAGGTAATAAGCTGCACACTATTCGGATCCATACCCTTTTCTTTTCGATACGCTTCTTTCTGGTATTTTTAATAATTTTTCTTCTTTTGTTATTATAATGAAAAAGCAGTACATGACAATTTGTATAAGCAAAGATGGCAAAAGCATTAAATATATATTTCCTTTACGAGCACTATAATGTTTCTACAGTTAAGATTAATCGAGAAATAAATTTAAGTCGAAATTATTATTTATAATCCGCGATTGAAAGTCGGGGTTAAATTGCTCCCATAGCAGTTAAAAGGATTATAAAGATGGGTGAAATATTTGAGCGGTGGCAAAGCGTCAAACTAAATATATACAAAATAGAGAAAGAAAGAGAGAGCAAAATATTAAAAATGATGGGTAGTAAGTATGTAACAAGGAACGCTGTAATGCGTACCTTTACCGCGTACACCACCGCGCCCGCCCGCGTAGCCACCATCGTAATTACCACCGCCATAGCCATAGCCATCTGCGTTTCATGAAACACATGGTACAAATAGAGTCAGTATCCGCACGTACCATATTTCGATATTTTAATGCAAAAGAAGAAAAAAAGTAAAGTATATACACGGCCGCGACTTTAAAGGAAAAATTTCAATGACAGTTTTAGTCCGAAAAGATCCACAGATCACCAAGATACTGACGGATTTTATGATAGCGAGTACCTCACCCTGGGACATGATTTAAATTGAAAAATTCGCGATTTACGCTATATTGACGAAACAAACAAACAAAGGATAATCACCACCATATCCGCTGTAATCGTAACCACCGTAACCGCCGTAACCGCCGCCGTAGTAATCGTATCCTCCATAACCATCGTACCCACCGCCGTAGCCACCTTGACCGTAACCGCCGCCGTAACCGCCTCCGTAACCCTGTCCCCAGCCGCCTTGACTTCCGAAACCACGACCACGGCCACCTCGGGCGCCTCTACCTCGACCCATCATTCCACCGCGCATTCCACCCATGCCGTCCAATTTGGGCGTCGCCTTCTTCACGTCCACCTATGATAAGAGTTCAATATTAATAAGAGAAGTTTGATTTTCAATTGTGAAAAAATTATTCAGTGTTTACTCAAATGTCTTGTAAAAAATTCCCCGATCTTCAAATAAAATAAGAAAATTTGTAAATGCAATTTTTTAAAAGTTTATTGTATACGTTTTTTAATATTTTCTATTCATATGATTGAAAAGTTATCAAAAGTGCAGTTTTTGTAGCATTTAATACTGATTTATTAACTTGAAATTTAATGCGAATTTGTGAATTTAAATAACAACAAAGTGCGATATATCATTACTAAATGCTAAAAACTAAAAATATATAAAATATAATATAAAATAAAAATAGAAGACAAAAAATAATTCATTATAAATGTTTTAAGGAATATTAATTTATATATAATAAATTTAAATTATGATCAAAGTTTAAACTATTTTAATATTAAACAAAAACTCACCGCTTTTCCATTGATGGTCTGTTTGGGCGTTTTGAGTAGTTCGTTGACAACTTGCTCAGATTCAAAAGTAATAAAGCAGAAACCTTTCCTCTGGTTCTTTGTCTTGTCAAACGGCATCTCTACCTCGACAATCTGGAAGAATTTGAAAAATGCGCGATAATTTTGTTTTTTTTAATTTCATCTTAATTTCATATTATTTACAAATTATTTCCTTTTTTAATTTGGCTTCTCTATTCTTAAATCACGAAATACTTACGTTTCCAAATTGTGAAAAGAAGTTCTTGATATCATCGTCGGAGAGCTCCGTCGAAAGACCACCGACGAAGATCTTCCCGTGTCTAGCTTTTGCTTTTTTAGGGTCGACTTTCTTATTGTTGATAACGTGATCACCGGCTGACATAATCTGTAAGAAAAATAATTAGATTATTGGTACGTATAATATTGATCTACAACATTGAAGAGAAATATTTATTATTAATTAACTAATAATTAATATTCAATATATGATAAATTTAATTTTATTATTAAATATATTAATATATAATTTACTGGAAAAAAGAAAAATTACCTTATCGAGAGCCTCGGCTTTAGCGAAAACGATGAAGGCGAAACCTCTCGATCTTCCAGTGTTGGGATCTGTTTTGACATTAATACTCTCGATGTCTCCATATGTACTAAAATGTTCCCTTAATTCCTCTGAAAAATTCCGAAACAAAGTATAAAAGCACCTGTACTTCCGGAAAAAATGCAATCTATATCAATGATCAAGAATGAGAATACTCACTGTCAGTAGTTTCCCAGCTTAAGCCACCAACAAATAATTTTCTGTAAACAATAAACAGAAACGAAATTTGTAAATAAATGTAATGGAGGATAATACGCTTAATCGCCCTAACTTTCCAACCACTATCGCAGTACTACGATTGCTATATTATCTCTATTGAATTTTTATATAGGGCACACAATATTAAAATAAAAAAGAAAGAGAGAGATAGAAATTGAATGTGCCTCTATCAATCATAGAGTCCTGATTACTTCCGGTCAACCTGCAAAGCAATGGAACTAATTTATTTTTACCAAAGAAAGAACAAAGATATTTTTATGAATATTACATTAATTAAATTAAGATTTTCAAACTTTACATTTTAATGTTACATTTCCTATGCAAATTAGAATCATATTACGATTTAATAGAGCGCAATTAACGATCCATGATGCTATCTGGAAAACACTGCAATAAATTTTGATATTGATTTATGCAAGCACGATAATCATTCATTTTTTTAGATTGCAGAAAATAGAAATTCCAATTGCAACAACTTGCAATGTAGGTGTTGTCCTACAGTAAAGATTTGGAAAAATAAACACGTTCCTTGCGTGAGACTAAACAAGTTTGTTATTCTGACAGGAAAAGATAAAAGTTCAAGATATACCATAATCCCTAGAACAAATGAACTCTGATAAAGTTAAATGTATATATTATTATACAAATACGCAGTTGCTACGCGATAGCGTAGTAAAATTGAAGTTATGAAGAGACGGCGGCATTGCGCAACCACACAGGCAACTCGATTTGAACATCATAAAAAAATAAGTTTTGTGAAAAACATTAAAAGAAAAAGTTTTAGAAAAATACATATGCATATGTATGTATGTGTGTATAATATTAATAAGTTTGTGTATATGTGAGAGTAAAAAAAAATGCATCAAAGAGAGCAAAGTACTATTATAACGATGATCCAAATAAGCTAAACTCCAGTAGTTGATATATACAGCTGCCCCTAAAGAAAATACAAATAACTTCTCTAAGTTACACACACAAAAAAAAAATAATCCCGATTATTAATATTGACCCAAAATTAGTGGCACGTGGTAGTAGATCAACTGCAACTCTATAATATTAAAGCTAAAAATTAATTTCCATATTACGACAGATTAACATTGGTCACTGTACGATTTTGCTCTGTTTTTATCTCCCTTGCTTTTTATTTTTTGCTTTTATTTGACTTCTTTTTAAACATTATTATGCGTTACATCAGACACTCGTATGCATACATATATAAATTTTTCTATTTTACAATTTATTACGATTTGTCTCTATTCTTAAGACACATTTTTTGTTTCTATTTTTTTGCATTCAAATAACAAGCTGCAATATGTACACATTTTGCTGTTTCTCTATCTTTTTTCCGGCTGTGTTAAGTCTGTATTTATATATATGTTTATCGAGATATATATATTATATATATATATATATATATATATCGTTTTTGTATATCATCTAGGGCTGATGATAAATACCATGGGTACCAGTCACTCGCCGGTATCTGTTGTCAGGTCAGGTCACAGTTAGCCGGTTGCAAGCAGTCCACCGTAATCGCACTGGGACGTTTGCCACCTGCAGACCAAGTCACAGAAACTGCGTTAATGGCGTTCCGGAGGTCCTATAGGAGATGTTTGCATTGGCCCTAGTGTCTCTGCGCATTTGTTCATGCCCAAATAATCCAAATATTCATAATTCAGCGGAAATTACTCTACTCTGTATTATATCCAGCAGGCAAGTATGTCACTGCGACACATATTTTGATCTCAAGTAACATTTGACTCGACTTGACTCCAGCATATTTGTGTTGTCACGGAACATGATGAACTTGAGAATTCGATGCTCGATCGCTCGCAATAATTCCGACCCCAAAGTTCATTTCATCAAGCTTCGCAGCTCAATTCAGAGATCCCAGACAAGCATTGGATGTATTTGTCAATCGTTTTGATCAATTGACTAATCTGAATTTGACTGTAAACTGTTACTGTGAATAAGGATGACTCGTAACTGATCAAACGTGTGGATTTCAAAATTATATTCTATTAAGAAAAAAAAGAAAAAGAAATACAAATACACACAAAAATGTTATTCTTAAAGAATACATATATAAGTAGATCTACATATACATACAAACTTTATCAATGATGAAATTGTATCTGCCTTCCGTTAATTATAGAACTAGAAGAGAGTTAATTGGCTGAGTAAGAACAGAAAGAAATTTACAAAAAAAAGTTAGAAAGCTTGAAACAGACGGACACATACCTCATAACTATAGCATGTGTAATTATAATTACAGTATAATATATAATAAGTATAATTATATTTACCTTATTTTATTTATAAAAAACTAACAATATGTAAAAATATATTTCAGATTTACTATGTAAGGGCAATTGTATTCAATAATTCACACAATTATAATTTTATCCCATATATATATATATCGCACGATAAATATATAATAAAACATAAAGCTGTAAAAAAATGTTAGATTTGTCGCGTGTATTTTACTTTAAAAAAAAGTAAGAAACACAAAGGTAAAAACGAACTCGCCGGGACATAAAAACAAGAAAAAAAAGGAAGAAAGAAATAGAACAAAGCGAAGAAGGTATGACGCGCGAACGAATTCTTTCTCAAAGAGAGCGGCGTAGTAGAGAGAGAGAGAAAGAGAGAGAAAAGCACTCCATCTCGTACGCTAGGAACAATAATGAAAGAAAACTCCGTCTGTTCGCGGGGGTGGATGCAAAAAAGAAACGTACCATCGAAGATGTCGCAATCGCGCGAGCCGGAAGGATCGCGCGGGAACGCGATCGACATCCGGTGTACGGGCGATGGGAGCGGATTATAATTTCATTTTCCCTCGAGCCGGCCCACGGCCATTTTGTTCGACGGCCACTCTCTCGTGTCGCGAAGCCCGGGAGGGGACGCCGACTGCGATTTCGCGGGAAAACGCGTCCGCGGGACGCTAAACGCTCAAAGAAGGATCGGCGAGATCGCGCGAGTCGCGATCCCGTCGTCTCGTCGCTTTCGGCGCGATAAACTCGAGAGATCTTACCTGTCCTCTTGGGAGTCCTGGCCATTCTCCACGGCGTCTCCACCGCCACCGATGCCGCCGCTCTCGGCTTCGCCGTTCTTGTCGAAACTTTGCTCCGCTATGTCTTCACTGAAGTCCTTGCCCTCTTGTTGATCTGCCATTGTTTATGTCGTGTTTTATGCACTCGCCGTACTCAAAAATACGGGGGAAGATCGAGTAGATAGAAAATAATCACACTCGCGCTATTAGGGGAACGTCTGCGCCGAGACGGATCCGTGGTCGAAAGGAGGATGAGGGAAATGTCAGTGTCGCCGCGACTCGTCCCGCCCTCTGCCGGAAGAATTTCGATGGATCGACCAATCGGGAGGGAGTCGAGTCGCGTCTATATAGTTATTTTCTATACTCCGCGGTCAAAGGACGGCCATATTGATTTTTAGTTGGAAAATTGTATCAGATGGCGCCACTCTAGCGCCTGGTGCAAACTTTTTTTTTTCTTCCCGGAGTAGCGGAGTTTGTCGGCCCGGTCGGAGTGTTTGACATCTGACCTCGCGTGATGATTAGATTAGTTATTATTAGTTGTCGCGCGATTAGATCGTCTAGTTTGTAGGAATCGACTGAAATTTTGTTATTATGGCTTCCTTGGTTGCGGATTACGGGACCTCCTCCGGTTCTGACAGCGAGACGAACGGTGACGTTTCGGATGATGATGCGTAAGTTTGGATCACTGTGAGCTGCTGTCCAATTTAGCTTTTATCCTTTTTTTCAAGCGCTTCTCCATCACCTCACTTTAATCCTCATCTAATCTTCTATAGAAAGCATGAAACTCAATTATTCTACCTACAGGAAAATTGTACGAAATTTAGTTTTTCGATGATACGTATTCGATTTAATAGGTCACGCAAACATAAGGCTAAATATGGATTGTTGTTATAGCTAATACTAAATATTATTACTTCAAATGATACATTTTGTTTTTTTTTCACTTTCATGATGTTCTTCTTTTGCATTTAGAACTGGATATATAAAGATTTGTTTACGTCAGATTATATGCATTGTATCTTACAATTTGATTCTTTGTACTATTTATATAATTTCGTCTCTTTTTTTCTCTTTTCTTTTTCTCTCCTTTCAAGTCACACAAGCAGAAATATCTATTTAATTTTTTTCTTTTATTTTTTTTCCATTGCTTGAATATAATTTTATTTTATCTTAGAATTCACCACTCATCCGTCTATTCTATATATTAAAAGTGATACACATGAAATATCCATCTTAATATATAATAAGAATCAAATCATTGTTATAATATTCATTGAGAACAAAATATCATGATAAACATTTATTCAAATTTAGCAACCCTATGTACATACAGAATGTGGCTTGTTCTTTGTAATCTGATATTGCCTCACCGTTAGCTTTAAGGGTGCGGACAAGGCGGAGTCGGAGGAGGATGAAGAAGAAGAAGAAGAAGAAGAAGAAGATGATGATGATGATGATGATAACGATGAGAATAGCAACGCGCACAATGACGAGAACGGACACGTGAGAATAAACGAAACAGCAGCTTCCAGAGAAAAGCTTCCATTGCCTACCCCAGATTTTAATAGCGCTCCATTGTTGAGAACTTCAGTGTTCTCGAATCCGTTTGTTGAAGCGGAGCGGGCGAAGAGCGCGATTCTGGAAAAGCACGTGAAGATGACGCCCACGTTGGACGATACAAAGATGATAAACGGCCGCAAGATCTGCTGGAATTATCGGAAGGGCCGCTGCCGATTCGGTCACAACTGCACCTTTGCCCACGACTCGGATCTGCATCGTACCGCGGCTGAATTAGAAGCACTGCGGACTCCGCAGGAGACGCTGGTCTGTCAGACTCGATACAGCAATGGACAGCAACAGCAGACATCACCTGTCACGAACGATGAAGAGAACGAGGTAGATCAGGAGAACAATCAGACTGCGAACAGAAAACGCAAGAAGAGGCCAGGCTTGAGCCAATTGTTGCTTCCGAGTAAGAGAGTCTTTAAGCTGTACAAAGCGCAACAACAACAGCAACAACAAACCAAAACTAGATGAATAACGTTCGTTCATTTGGTATAGCGATAAGAAATGAAACTCTGTCTTCTAGCCAAGTCCGTTACACCTCCTATGTGAGAACATAGAATCGAAAAATACGCGCAATGAGCGATTTCGTGGAAAAAAGAATTGCAGCGCAAAATAAATTGAACGAATTTTGTAGAAGCTTTTAATGGTGAAAATGGTAAGAAAATTGTAAGAAGAGAATTCTGAAAGACGAAAATGTGAAACAATTATAAGAGAAAAATTGCGAATAATTTTTGATTCGTTCTCGTGTTACGCATATTCGAATTTCCATCTTTTGTCCCACACAATATAATGGAACCCATTATTGTCTGGTAATGGAACTAACAAAATCTCAAGATTTAGATTAACATTATTAATTAAATGAACAAAAGCGATATAGATATAAAAAAAATTACGATTTATGCTTCCAATGCGAATCTAATCTGCGATGTGTAGGATAGGATTGTTTGAGAAATTTTTGTTATCATAAATCTACGAAAGACTATTCCATATACAAAGCGTACGCAGCTTATGATTTGTCTCTCGTACACGACGCATAAAATGTCTTCTTGTTATACCGTGTTTTCCTATATATTTATCATGATTAACTATTTTATTGTTTACTAGATATATTAATTAGAATTGTTTGTATGTAAAGAAAACCAAATAATACTTTACAATAAATTCGATACACAGTGTATCGTTATACTATATATTCCAAATTCCATTCGACGATTTGGAAATAAATCTTTATATGTATCAGATGACGATACTTCCATACGTTTCTGTGAACTTTATGATTAAGCAAAGCGTAATTGTTTGGTTCGATTGTATCTGTTTTTATAAAGAAACAGATTTTTTTGGAATTTCTTATGCTACAATCAAATGAAATAAATTCGATACTCGGTCAGATTTAATTGCAACTTCTAGACGTCAGAAGAATGATCGAAAAGTCATTTACTAATATATACTAATCTGTTAATGAAGAATTAATTAATTGATTATATGGTAATAGGGGAATATAACGAAACATCATTAACAAATTAAAAACTTAGTCAATTTTATGCAGTTTGAGCGGTTGAATACAGTGATTTTAAAACACTAATTATCTGTTAAAGAGAAAACAATAATTATATTGTTAAGTCAATATAGAAGAATCAATGGAAACCCAAAAATTTATCTATATAATGTGACTTGAAAGAGGCTTCGAGAAATCTGAGGATTTCTAAAAAGTTGCCAATAAAATCAGCTATGCTGAAATATTGTCTCGTTTGATTTGTGCTTTCTTACCCAATACAGTAATAGAATATATGTAATAGATATATATACGTACACAAGAAAACTACATCTAAAAGATTGTCAAAAAATAAATTTAAAAAATTTTAAAGACTTTGAAAAGCTAAAGCTCTGATTAAAAAAATGTGGATTTTGAATTTAATTTTCTGAATGATAAAACATTTATAATTAAATCAAATCATACAATTCCTCGACTTATTTCGATATTCTTATTGTTGTCATAAATATAATTGCTTGTCTTGTTATCAATGACTTATTTTGATTAATCAGTTAATAAAAACTAGGGAATGATAAAAATATATATTTTTAATTCTTTATTCATGTGGACTTATATAAAAAAAATTCAATCTTATTTGTCTAATAAGTGAAATTTCAAAGAAATATTAATGAATGTTATATTGAAATAGGAATAACTATCAGCTAATAAGATGGTTTAAGAATAAAATTGTCAGAGGGAAAGAAAAATAATCTTTGGAGCAGATTTTATGTATAATGACAAGACATGAGACACGATAGGCACGTGACATTTTTTTTATTAGACGCTCATGGGTACAACATTCTGTTCTTTTTCAAATCCATTATCTACGTAAATTGTGAGTGCGCGTTGATAATAATTCACTATTGCATTATTTCTCTCGATTGAAAATATAGACTTTCGCGTTTGTACATATATATATATTTGTATATATATACATACATACATATATATCTTTTTCTCTTCTTTTCTTTAATTTCCATGAATGAATGTTTCACAGGCACTTTGTCTCTAAACAGTGGCGAAATTTACGAATGATCAGTTGGCGTGTGTGGAAAATGCGAGAACGATACATATGAAGTATTTCTTTATAGTACTTTATATAAGCGTCATCGCAGAATTCATCACTGAGGCTTTTAGGGTCACGAGTAACATACGGAGATCTCGCACAATCATTTTTCTATCGCAGTTGATTTTGCCTTGCAAAGTTATCTGTTAAGTTATATATGCGAGATCTTTCATAATTACATCGACAACACATATTACAATTAATCACAGAAATAGTAGATTTGACGAAAATGATTGCGCCACTTTATATACAATTAACTTAATTATTTCTACGGGCAAGCACCTATTAAGTACTGATAAGTATATTCGATCGTTAAAAGTTCGCCGCAATTGAAATAAAGAGTTCTACACCATATTTTTTTTGTTTTGACGATTGAGTTATCAGATTATAAAACATTTCAATGCCTAATTCTTTCACAAGTTGAAAAGATTTTAAGCAAATCATATAAAGATAATGTTACACCATTTTGGTTTGATGAAAAAAGAAAGCGATAGGATACAATTTAGGATACAACCGCCTTTTTCTCTTCCTCTTAGTCTTTGGAGATAAACGATCTCGTATGTAATTTCTTTCACGAGAATCGAAATTTCGGAAAATTTAATTTCCAATAGAATTTACAAAAATAAATAAATATACAAAATAATACATATATAACATATTCTTTGAGAATAAGTTAAATAACATCATTATAAAACTAATTTCAATCCTTTGCTCAAATCAAGCAAGCTTTATTTCGAGATTCAGAATTCTAATCTTAATTGAATTAAAGAGGATTGATTGCCACATAAAATTATCACATTGTATATAGATCAATAAATTTACATCAAAAATGCAATATATTAATATCTCTTAAAAAAATTTGTGAAACATCTTAATATTGAATTTTCTTTTTAAAAAATCTGATAACTCTTAAAATCTCTGTCTCCTCGATATTGTATTACTGTATACCTTACAATTTATAGATCACTTAATAATCAATAAACTCGAATTCGATTGCGCGTGTCATTTCAAAATTTAATAAATACTTTGAACTTTTACTATATGACTGTATTGCAAAATGCTACAATGTTATCAGAATAAAATTCTCAAAATCTTTAGACTTTTTTTTGGCATGACATTAAGTAAAACAGTTAAAGGGATAATAATACATTTAACACTTTTTAAATTTCCAATAAATTTTGCAAATAGTCTCAAGAGAATTCTCCAAACATTCCTTGGGACACGATATAATCGTCCGAAATAAATTGATTGCTTTGCGTACTCGAACGTCATGACACAATACGTGCATATCTCTATCACAATCGCTCTCTCAAGTTTTCGAGAGTTGACAGACAATACTTGAGGTACAGTATGTAAAATAGATTAGAGTAAACTAGTGTAAAATAAAGCGAAGTACAAATACTTGGTGCGTCAATGGACATTGCTCGTTCAATGGGACTTTATCGAAAATTTGCCAAGGCCTCGTTTCACCAACGTCGTTTAATACTCATTTAACTTATTTTTCGCCTCGTTCTGGAATTAGATTTAGAAAGAGACGAGTAATGAGTTAAATTATAATGAAACTTATTTTTCAATCGCGCAAAGGTTCACAACAAACCTTATATATATATAATATTCAATCATTTGTGATTTCTCTTCATTTTTTTTATTTGGAATTTGTTTGGAGGGATTTTTTTTTAAATCGTAAGAAAATGTTAAAGTGAAAAATCTATTATTTAAAAATGTTTTAAGTATAGATGTATATCTTTTAAGTACTGATCTTCTCGTGCATAAACTTTCGTTTCGAAAGATTTGTGAGGTGCATCGGATTCCGATTCAAGTTCGATCGACGTTGACAAAACTAGCCATAAAAGTTTCACACAGGGATTTCTTAAGTACGATACGCAAGCCCGATTAAAAAATAGATATATTATCTATGTGAAATTTCAGAGGTCCTATCAGAGGCTAATTATAGTTACTATTTATCCAAAACTGTTAAGTTAGATAGTCCGCGTCGATACTGATAAATCCGCGCTACAGTTTGGAATTATTCACGAGTTGAAATGGTTTTGTTGCATTCAAATTTTTTGTTCACGGGCGTCCAACCATTGAAATCTATTCTCGAAATCCGTTCTTCTGCGATTCGACTTTTAATTTTCGTAAACTTTCGTCCAGCTTTGTGATTGGACCGTCGAGTTTAGAATGATAAATTTTCGATTTTTGATCGTCGCCGTTCATATTATATCGTTCGGCTAATGATGCTTTACCGTTTGCCAGACCGTTTTGTACGCCGTTGATGATCTTGTTGCAGACTGTTTGTTGACCATTTAAATTGGAACTCAACGTGTCACTCGCTTTGCAATCGAGTCCGTTGCTTTGTATTTCCGCTAGACTCTTTGAGAGCTTGTTGATACCTGGGTTCTCTGTCAACTGCATCGTGCCTGTAAGATAAGATATCGAATGTTGTTCAGATACTATGGTTCTGTCATTACTAGTTTTAGATAATTACTATTATTTAAAATAATTAAAATACAAGAACTTTAAATAATTAAAAAAATTAAAATCGAATTACTTTTCCAGGTGTAAAATCTTTTCAGCTTGGATGTACGAATCTAATCTGTCGGATATAAATCCGTAAAAATAAGTATGTACGATATGCTCATAAAACATAAATTTAAATATATTTAAATAACATGATAGTATATTCATAGAGCAATACCGTGCATATTGTGGCAATATTTATTGGTACTATTCCATTCTTCGCGCAAGCTGAGATTGAACATGCTGTAGTCCGGATTGTTAGTGACTTCTTTCTCGATTGTCAGGAACTGAGGCAGGATGTTTTTTAGTTCATCACCCGTCAATGCTGTATACGTTTCGAGTAACATCAAACCTCGACATCTGCACAGTATACACACATTTTAAAATAATATATATGTTTTCCTCTCATATTTAATAAACTTACTTATACATAAATAAGAGATTAAAGCGAATAATCTTAGAAGATAAAAATCAGAAAAAAAATTTGTTTTAATTAATTTGAGTCTTAAATTATATAATTTAATTATATAATTAGTAATTATAAAGATGTTTTATACTATTTGCATGTAAACATCACTATCAAGACTAGCATAAACAGGTCGATCGTACGAAGTATCTCAGTCTTATCTAGAGTCACTTTTTATCTACTATTGGTTCTTTGATAAATTTAAAATTTAGATTTTATTATTAAAAAAGTATTGCGTCATTTAAGTGCATCGATTGCGCTCTTACCTGGGGTGCGCCGGCTCTCTATATATATCTAACTGAAAATACTGATTGTTGATCAGAAAGCAACGACGACGCTTGAAGATTGTAAAGTGCGAATCGTCGCGCTGAGCCAGCATGTTCAGGTAGTCTCGATGCGTCAACTGAGTTTTCACCTCGATTACTTGGCCGCACATCTTCGGTCGACGGATTGTGTGAATGTATGACCAATGACCTTAAAGAATAAAAAATTTTGATTATTAAACGGATTTTCGTTCGACGAGTGACATCATTGATTGTTAATTTGTGAAACAATAATCGACACGAGTTAATTAATTTTCAAGTAATTCGAATAAATAAATAAAATGATTAGATATTTGTAGGAAAGAAATGAAAGCTTTTCGTCGGTTGCTTCACCTTTTTGGCCACGCTTGCGTAAACGCGCCTGCATTTTGGGATTGTTGCTTTGCAGGTAATTGTGCACAACATCGAAGTCCTGAAAGGGCGGAAACTCGGTGTCCGCTGGTAGAGGCGCCTTCACGAGGAACTTGACCTTGCGACTGCTGGCGCGCAACCGATCGCCGGTGTCGATGCCGAGTTTCTGGCACACGCACTCGATCATTCGGCAGATCTTGGACTCGAAGTCCTGGGAGTTGTCGATCACGTCGAAGTATGGATGGCCAACCCAGGAGGCTGCGGCCTTGTAGTCGAGTTCGCGAGCGAGCTCAACACCCTCCGAGCGACACGCGTGCTCCTCCGTGGAGTAGAACTCCTCAGCGCCGTTCGCCGCCGAAACCATGTGGATGATTTGATTGTACCTGGTTGACACACGTGAATGCTTTAATAGTAAAAATACATACTATTTTTGATATTAACGATGAAGTGTAATACGCGAGATACATAGATGGTATAACTGGCAATATAGCACAGTAGCATTGAAAGTTATGCAAGCGTGAAACAGAGAGAAAGAGAGATGAATTTTCCAATTATCGATTTTCCTCAGGAACAAAGGTATATGCATTTTTCAAGCTCTCCTTGCGTATCTCTGATCTTACCTGTTGTCTCTTAGCTCGACATTGTTCCATCCGTTGGAAGCCATCATGAGTTCCCATTTATCTTTCGAAATGACTGAAAGACATCTCTCGTTGATTTTTTTTTTAAGTAAAATTTAATTAAATCATTATCAAACTCTTGTACTTACAAGCGGAGGCGTCCATCGCTCCACGATCACAGATGATCAAGCAATTTCTGGAGCAACTTTCACCCAGTTGAAAGAATGTGTTCTCTATTTGTATCATCGTGCGCAGGAGATTCTCCTGAAATTTGAACGCTGCAACACACGCGTAAAAAAATTCAATATAAACAAGATATTTTCATTGATTTCAAAATATCATTTGTACAAGAAGGACGAGATTTGTGCATGGACTTTGATGGTGCTTTGAAGCGCTAGCCTGAATATAATCGCGTTGTTTATCTTTAAGGGAAAAGAGAGACCTAAAATTCAAGGGAAAAATCTAAATGCTTAGCTCAATAAATTTTCCTACTATAATACATCTGGTGAATTACAGCAAATGTGCTAAACAACTTTCGTTCGGAAAATGTTTCCTCTTTTAGAAATCTGACAGATTTCTGAAAGACATGTTGTTTGGACTCTTGTCATTCAACGTCTTTAAGCGCTAGCCTAGCGAGACGGGCGGACAATCCTCGTTCGTTTGAGTGACATGAGGGTACAAGTATTTATGATTTTACATCAATAGACCTTTCATTTAACATATGTCCTTGGACTTATTGATGTTATCTTGCCAGTGATCTCAAAATAGCTAGAACAAGATTTATATCCAGAATAGTACTATCTCAGTTGACTGAAGAGATCAAAATCTCTTATTTTAGGATAGAAAAATGCACGAGGATTCGTCTCTCGTCGACGAGTTCTAGAGTGTCTTGTGTTTCAAGATCGAGACACAATGAAAAATGGAATAGTAAAAAAAATAAATGTAAGCAATATAAAATATAATATTACTATGCACAGGAACAATCACTACAAAAAGCGATCAATTAACTGACAGATGTGGCTAACTATTTGTAAGAGATAAGATCAGACTTCTATGTCTACTAGATGATATACGAATAAAGTACATCGACACTAAGGATTAATTTCTAGAAAAAATACATTAAAAAGAAAATAAAAAATTAAGAATTTAATTTTACACGAGAGATGAAAAATTCATCTTACAAAGCTAAAATCTCAATCATCAGTTATTAAAAATTGATTAATAAATGTATTAATTCTATTGCAATTTTTTTAAATATATTTTTAAACGTGTTAATAGAAATTTTATTTTAATAGTCGGATTTTTGATATATAATTTATTCTTACATATTTCATCGTGTCTCGAACCACACTCTAGCGATTACTCGACTCACCCACACCGGAATTGACTTCCAGGATCTCCGGCCATCTCGCCTTGCCTTCATAGGCTTCATTCTTATGATTTAGACACGAAGATTTCGTGTGCGAAGGAAACGAGCTCTCTGCTAAAATTAATCGATTCTTGACGTATCGTCATTGAGATCCGAAAAAAAATTCTCGAATCGGAAAAATGTCAAATTTCTTTTCTCTTTTACATATTATGATCGAATCATGTTAAAGTTATCACATTTCTTCTTTCAAAAATTAAGGAATTGAAAGGAATCGATGAACCTTTATTAGACCCGTGATTTAAATTTCAACTTCGTATCTTTGTAAGAATGTTTGATGCTATAACTTCCGAATGTTTTCCGTTTCTTTTTGCACATCTTCAAAACAGACTTCAATCTCGAGGATCTAATAACGTTGACGACATCAGAAAAACATGCGAGTCGTATTATCGTATCCAAGTTTTATAAACATCATCTTTTTTTACTGGCGATAATTTTCGCAAAAAAATGACAAATATAAATATAAAGATATTAATAAGTCGATGGAGTTAGCTTGTTAATCCTTAATGCGATAATTGAAAATGTCAATTTTTTTCAATTTACTATGAATTGCTTACTTAATCTGCGAAAAATCAGATTGTTTAAAAACTGTTAACTTTTCTTGTAATTGAAATAAGATATTATTCTATACCTTTGTATGATTATGTAACACATAATTATGTTACAATACAAAAGCGTAATGTACAACACACACACAAAAGCGTATATAATTATATACAATACAATAGAGTAATCTTAGGAATTTCTTAATTATTCACGTTTCCACAAATTTACGGTCAATAACCAAAGAAAATCGTAAACATTAGGCATGTTATCCATATTATAGTTACAAGATTTATTATATTTTTGTAAAAGAGCTCTCACATGAAAAAAATTGCATATTTTTTTATAAAGATTATATAACAGAAAAACTAAGACAGTCGAAACACATTTCATATCTAATCCAACAAAAATGATGATAAACATATGCATAAAATGAAACCGAAGAAGCCTGATATTCGTATTCGTTCAAGGGCGAGTTGATTAAAGCAGCACGATTGACTTACGTAAGGGCGAATAAAAATGCAAACACGTTTCGAGTAACAATACCACCCATGTAGCATAATATGTATTATCTTTGCTCCATAAAACTCTTTCAATCTCGATACACAATGAGAAAGAAATTTAAAAATAAATTTAAAAATTTTCAGAAATATCAGTAAAATAATATATATAAAAAAAATATTTGGATATCAATATGATTTAATTAAATACGGTATATTTTGTGCAAGAGTTAAATTATTCGAAGAGAAAAGATGATGAGCGCACACGAAGAAAATTTTCTGTTAGAATTTTATAAGAGTTTTTCTAATTAATATTTATTACAATAAAAAATATTAATATATACATAGCAAAATTAATCAAACATATTTTATACATCTTATTGTGATAGAAATTATTTTTTCCCCGATTCAGCGACTTTGGACCGATATTTTTCTCGCCTAAGTACATCTCTTTAAGGGGATTAGAGGGGAAATAAAATCTCGAAGTGAGATTATTCTGAAAGTCTTGGCAAAGTACCAAGCAAATTATAATAATATAATTTCCAACGAAAAATCAATTTTTGCATCGACATTCGCGTTCGACTTCGAAGTCTTTATAATTCTAAGTTATATTTATCAATACGCAAGTCTTTAAATTCTTATTGTAAATATTTAATCAGAGAAACTCTTATAAAATTTTCCCAATACTATATTGTCCCACAATTACCATGATTTTTAGGGTAAATTCTAAGAGAAAATTCCCTGTAGTGCAGCAGATTGAAAGCAAATCTGACATGGATAAAAATTGAAAAAATCGTTGATAAAAAAAAAAAAAAAAAAAAAGAGAGAGAGAGAAGATTCTATTAATATATATAATAAATTCTATTAAATTTCCATCGAACTAATAAATTACAATAATAACGAAGATTGACGATCGAGAGCAAAGTCCCTCGCAGGCCAAGCTCGGCGCAAGCCAAGAATCTTGACGTTATGCAATTTGGGTGTTATTATATCGAGTGCAAGAGAGCAGCTTCAGCTTGCGCACGATCCTTCGCGATATATTATAAGTTCGCTCTAGATGCAACGAGACGTTTATATTTTACAAAGGTGTTTTCCGCGACCGGGAGTGATGCTTTCGGAAATTCCGATGCAATTCATGCGCGATATGACTGGTCGAACGGGTTTTCTTTTTTCGCAGCTTTTTTTTCTGCTCGTATCACGATGTCGTGTCAAGATAATGAGATTTTTTTGCTCTTGCTCCGTTTCGTCTGTCCGGGATTTTTCCACCCGCGTTTCATTCTCACGTCGCGATTGCAACGATTGACGCAATCTGCGTCTTGCTACTGGGGGTAATATTTACACGCGCTTTTCGAGGTCAGCAAGAAATAATACCTCGTATTTCCTCGACACTCTCTCGCCTTTACTTAAGAAAAATTGTGAAAAAAAAAACAGAGAAGTAGAAGCCTAAAGTATTGATCCGCGCGAAACAAATTAATTTTTATCTAGGTGTTGCATCAAATTAATGGAAATAATTTAAATTTCTTCGTAATTAATTGTATTAACTTTCGCGCAAAAGAAAGAAAATAATGTTTCAACGCGTTTAATTAATTTTCGCGCTTATATTATGGAAAATTTAATTTTTAACTTAATTTCGATCCTCGTGTCACACTTATTAAACGTTAAATCTTTCAATATATAATAACGATATCAGATTATTAATTCGCATTAAATAATTTCAAGAATGATTTAAAGAAATTTGAAAAAAGATTAATCATAAAAGAAATAAACATAAGAGACGAATCTGCACTCTTAATAATCGAAAGCTTCGCTGAAATGAAGGGAGGAATGATGGGGGATTGTGAAGATGCGAAAGGGATGTAATCTGCAGACTTACCCTCTTCCGCGTTCAGGTCTGAAAACTTGATGCCGCCGCTGAAATGGAAAAAAGCAGACAGCAGATATGAGACGATTGTATAAGAACGCACGCTGTGATACGCGTTTGATTTAATTGAGTTTAATCGAAATGTTTATAACGCAATGATGTTAAAGTAATCTTGATCTCGCAGCTGCAACTGCAGCGGCGTTGAAGGAGCTTTCGTTTTAATAAACGCGGACTTATCTTAAATTTCCAGTATATCTCTATATATATCGCTATTGTTTTCGGCGAAATAGACTTTTAAAAACAATCGAGCGTTTAATTGAAATTTTTGCGTAGTTCTTCAACACGATGCAAATCAAATGTAAATTACTTTACGCTCGTTTAACAAAGCGTTCACTCTTGGGTGTGTTTCGCGAATGTTTCTTCGCGATACAATCAATATTTGGTAATTGAAACGAGAATGAGAGGCTTTAACTGCGACTTTATTTCAACCTCGAAAATTGTCCTTTAACCCTGGAATGCATAAAACTAAATAAATATACGTGATCCGGTGAGACATCTTATATATTTTCATGCTTACTCAGTATGAAAATATATAACGCAGTATTTCCTATATTTTCGAACAATTTACAAATCAATTCGAGACCACACGGTATATAATATTCCATTTAAATTTCCCAAGGTTCTTCGAGGTAGTTTAATTCGTGCTAATCTTTATTTCGAGGGTGCATTCCAAGGTTAATGCAAAAGAAAACCGTAAATTGCCCGAGCGTGACTTTCGTTCCGGTTTCTCTCTTTCTTTTCTTTCGTTTTATTTATTATTATTATTTTTTTTTTTTTGATAAATTTGTGATCGTGTAATTGCATACCTGAGCAGCACGGTCGCTGTCTCGGGGACACGGAACACCTGAAAAAGAAGACAACCACCGCTCTATCGAATCCACAACGAAGCGTAAAAGCCCCCCGAAACTAGATCGCGTTTTCACTTTCCTCTCTCCTCGATATTTTTTTTATTTAACTAGCAAAACACAATTCACCGAGACATTTATATACATATGTATATGTTTATATGTATATGTATGTATGTATACAGAGAAAATTTTCTCTTAGAATTTACTCTGAAAATTACGGTAATCATGAGATAATATAGTATTGAAATTTTCAAGAGTTTCTCCGATTTACCACAAATATTTATTACAATAAAAATATTAATATTTATTGCAATAAGATGTCAAATATGTTCGATTAATTTTACTATGTACATATTAATATTTTTTATTGTGGCAAATATTAATCCGAGAAACTCTTATAAATGGTAGGTCCACGATTACCATGATTTTCAGGGTACAAATTCAAAGAGAAAATTCTCTCTATGTGTGTGTATATGTATATATATATATATATATATGTATGTATATATGTATCATCTAATTGCAAAACTAATTAAATATATAATTATCTCGATATTTTTTCTTTTATAAAGAGAAATCGACAGATGGTCGATAGAATAAGTTTGATGATCCATTACTTTAAAATCACCCTGTACGTCCGATTATATATGAACTCGTCGTGTGCAATTTATACGACGAAGTAGAGAATCTCTAGCTACGGAAAAACTAGTTTACGCTGTAATACATTATCCTTGACTCGAATTATCATAGAGCACGCGACAATCGAACGGTTTCTATGTGTAAGTATATATATTCAGTATACTCTATACAGGATTATTAAAATCATCCCCATCTCGGTTATATCACTAATAAGGGATGACTCTATATAGATTGGGGTAATATTATACGGCGATATCTCTGTCAAATATCCAAACTAATCACGGAATCGAGCGAGTCTCTCGCTCGGAGAGAAAAGCAAATCAGTCAGGGGGGAAGAAGGGGAGAGGAACAAAGTTCCACTTTTTTTTTTCCTCTTATGGAAAAATTTTCATCGTGAAGTAAACATTTAAAACCAAGTAGAGACCTACCTTCCAGCCCATGTTCTCGAAGAAGGTGCACAGCCTGGTCTGCCCGGTTGTTTTGCCACCGCACGGTCCTGCAATCGAACGCAACAAATTAGACTATATATCTGCACCATCTCTTCGTTTTGCGTCGTAAGAAAAAGGCGGGAAATCGATATATCGAATCGTTGCACGTGGAATTTCCATTTCGCGCGCTATTTGACATTTGACGTTATTCTGTTCCTCTTTACTGTTTTCTCGTTATATAAGATAAACGACGAGCGTATACGAAAAGGCAAACGGCCAATAAAAGGCAAATTGAATGTAATTGGTGTGCGCCGACACGGCTATTAACCCGACGCGACGAGACGCGTCATCTTCACGAGGATGCGATGACAAATTAGACCCACCACGAGAGGGCCTTAAAATAAATCACAACTGCCATTCGGCTGAAATAGTCTCATCTCATCTTAAATTCTCAAAAAATACTCAATCATGTGTCAAGTACTATAAAAAAATTACACAGAATTTCTTCCACCTCCTCTACGTTTTTCTCTCCAAAAATACAATAAAAATAAAATAAATTTATCTGACGTCAACGATAAAATGAAGCTATTCCAACAAAACTATCGAATCGTTTTTTTTTATGGTTTTCGATCTTTAATGGTTTTAGACAAAACAGATAACAAAAAGAACTTTTATCGAACTTTATCGCGAAATGAGAAAAATAAGACCGTGTGACTCACACAATATAAAACATTTAAAAAGGTTGTTCCCAAATTTACTGTTCCTTTCGTTTAACGACAACAAATGATAAAGCGCTGACAAATCTTATCTGTCAAACTTTTGGAATTCAAAGAACTTCACGTGCAACGATGCATTATATAAAACGCAAATAAAATATGAACGATTTAATATACCTACAATAAATACAAGTAACGAATAATGAGCTATTAACAAATAAAATTTCATTCCGAACAGTAGATAATACATAAAAATTTTAACAAAATTTACACAGAGAGAATATTCTTTTAGAATTTACCCTGAAAATCATGGTAATCGTAGGATAATATTGAAAGAATTTTATAAGAGTTTCTCTGATTAATATTTACACCACAATAAAATCTATCTAACTAATATCTACCATAATATAATATAAAATATGTTCGATTAATTTTACTATATACCCATTAATAATTTTTATTGTAGTAAATATTAATCAGAAAATAAAATTCTTTCAATACTGTATTATTCCACGATTATTACTATGTGATTTTCAAGGTAAATTCTAAGAGAAAATGATATCCGTGTATAAATATAATATATGATAAATATTTGATAAAAATGATATATAAATATACATGTATAATATTTATATATAAATATAAATATTTATAAATATAAAGAATATTTAATCCATGCCCATCTAGACGGGACATGGACCATCTTCTCTTGAATCACCCTGTACAAAGTTTGCGGCCGCATATTCCTGCGTAGAGTATGGAATCGATCGACATCTGCGTGATTGTGATAACGAAACGTCGCAAAACGCGAGGGACAGACGAGGGACAAAAATTCGTCGCGGAAATTCGCGGTTTTTTTTGCACAATGCTCTCTCATATATAATTTAATAAAAACCTCTTTCTCTCTCTCTCTCTGTCTCATTTAAATCGAGCGATTGGATCTTGAAAATGAATGCCACGTGCGTCTGTCCACGCCGGTCGAGATATGCAAATGCCAGGAAAATTTCCTCGTGTAAATAAAATTCTCGTGCTCACCCTCTACTCCGGTGTCATGTTCGTCACAAATACCAGAATATCACGGAGATATATGATAGTCGGAATTGCTTGAATTGCGAATTTCATCTTCACGAGAGTTTTTAAAAAAGAAGAGTTGGCTCTGACATATGTAACACGGTTAAGAGCGAAAATCAGATAGAAAATTTAGCAATCAGAGAGAAAATGGTTTTGAAAATAAATCTTTGAATGTAGAACGTGCTGATACTTAATAAAACATTAAAAAATTCGATTCTTTTTATTATAATATGTGATATACACTGAAACAATCTGTTAAGAGTCGATTGAAAGTTTTATCCGATAAATAACACATCTTCGTTCCTTTTCAGATAAGTTTATAAATAAAGAATATGTGCTATCTATCGAATAAAATTTATCAAGAAGTTGGAACTACCAGCCCTAAATAAATAACTATATAACTGCGTAATTATATGAGAGAGAATTAAAATGTTTTTTATTCGAATAATTTTTATACTTTTCGTATTCATATGTATTCTCAAATATATTTTTGAATTTTTGATATATTTTTGAAAGATTGAAATAACAAACTAATGCATAATACAATGCTTTTTCTCTCTTATCGTCTATCTATTTTAATCGAATCTTCGATTCAAGAATAGATACAATATGTAATATGATAAACATACAAAAAATAATTACAGTCGAAAACCAGAGAAATTTCCATAAAAATAAATGGAAATCGACCACTACAAAAGAATAATGAGCCAACATTCTACAAAAGAATAATGAGCACTCAAAAAATATACAAAATACAAGCCAAAAACATAAAAAATAAACTATGCAATATGCAAAGATAAATATACAACAAAGCCGATCATTGTTTTTTTAAGCATATTTTATTTCGAATAAAAAAATAATTAGAAATTTATTTAGAAAAATAAAAAATTAAATGAGAGAGCGCAACTTTAATTTTTTCAATCTAAATACAAAAAAATATATAAAAAATATGAAATAAATTGTCTAAATATACACGAAATACGTGCGTTTAAAAAAAAATCAATGTCAGGGGAGGGGAAAGTTCTTATATCGTATATTTACCCTTGTGTGGTATATATATGTTACACTCGCTTTCGCAAATATAAATCCCTATAAAAATGGACTTGACGAATTACGCACTTGTAATCGACTTGAAATCGAAAAAGTGCGTGCACACAAGAAACGCTATTGTATTTTCTGTTAATATAAACGTACCTCCGGTCAACACAATCTTGTACACGCGTTTCTGATCCATCGTCGCCACGATGATGACGGTCCTACTTCCGTTTTGACCGAATCGTTTCCTCCTTCTCTGTTCCTCTTCGCGACGACGACGACGACGACGGCGATGATGTTGGCGCTTCCTCGAAAGGGATCTTGCTCTTCCGGCGAGGCGAGGGTGCGCGAACGAATGTGCGATACTCTAAGGCGGCAGTAGTCGGTACTATATAAATACCTGGTACATCCCGAGTCGGCGCGTGCTCGACCGCGTGCTTGGACGATGCATGAGAACGGCGATGACGACGACGAAGACGGTGTCTTACGAATTACTCGGCGACCGCCGCTCGCTCCGAACCCGTTTCTTCTTTTAAAGGTATCCGTCGAAGGGACACGCAGCACCGCTCGGTACCTGTACCTGTGCTCCGACTTGACACAACAAACGCACGCGTCCGCCTCGCTCCGTTGCTCGCAGGCCTCTGAAGTGAAGTGAGCTGCGCAGCTGGTCGGCTGGCCGCGACGAGCGGCGCGAAGTCACGCGCGTTCGAAACCGGAACTGACGACACTGAGTGACGTATCGATACTCTCGTGTTCCCGCCAAATTCAAGTCTCTCTCTTCCCGCACGTGTGCCACGGTTTTGTTTATCTTCGAGTCTAAAATTAGATTTAGCAAAGATATATTCTCTTAAAAATATTGATATTTTTGTCTCTAAAATAAATATTTTATAGAATGTTTTATAGAATATCTTGGATATATATATAGGACGATATAATTGAGAATCCTCATAAGTGTTTCTGACGCGCGTTTAAGATTAAATCTAATATTAAAAGATAAATATAACGAGATTAGACGATAATAAATCAATCATCAAAAATTGTTTTGGCTTCTTTAATCGATCGTAATTTTAAAAAATAAACAATTGCATAATCATATATTAAATAAAAACAAAAATTATCTAATTTTGTCATATATATATGTATATATATATATTATTTACTGCAAACTTTTATTGATTTTGTATTATTTATTAGAGGAAGAGAAAAGGAGGCATTATGTATCATATTATATTTGAATATCTTCTGAAGAAAAAAATTAGTTTCCTGTATCTGCACATTCTATATGTTGCTATCTCACATCTGTGACAAGTAAAAATCAATTATAACTATTAAAATATTACGCGCAATTTTGAAGATCTCTATCCCTATTTATAGATATATGCACAACAAATTACTGAAATCACAGGAGACTTTACTTGAAAATTAATAGAAGAAATGCGCGCACCTTTTTATCTCTCGTTCGCGCAACTGCATTAAAAATAACGTCCTTGATATAGATAACACGCATCATTGAATCTCTTATTTTATCCTCTCTTCTTGAACAATTTTAAATATGAAATAAATCTGAAAGATACGTAAAACATATTTTTTATACATTTTTTTGATTTGTTAAAATCACACAATAAATAATGGCAACCTGTAATAGAATATTATAATATATGTTCAAATATTCTTTATATTAGTGCGTTATAATTTCAAGTACTAAATTACATGATTCATGTTTGCTGACAAAAATCGATAATGAATATTAAATCATATAATAAATATTAATTCATTCTTTTAAACGCTAAAACGGAAAAGCTAGTTTGTTCAAAAACTTAATTATCAAGTTATTCATTTTCTTATTTTTTCCCATAATTATTTTGATTATTGTCAATTATGCACTTGTTTGGTATCTCATGATTTCTTAATTAAAATGTTCAGGAAATATTTTCTTTGTGATGTGGATTCGCGAAATAAAATCGGATGATTCGATTGTTCTATATTTCTCTTTCTTATTTTTGTATTTACAATTTATCTATTAATTAATCATTTACAGCTAATATACAGCTAAAGTAAGTCTTAAATAAACTGAACCGAGAATTTATTGCGATGCATGATACATTGCTCAAAATAATTAGATACTTATTTAATCCACTTAGATGTTAACTCTTCGAGTAATAAAAATCTGAATCTAAATGTGAGACAACAATCAGAGCAATAACATTTATTTGAAGAGAATTATAAAAAAGAGATATCCATTTTAAAAAAAACTTTTAGCTTTTTTTATTTTTTTAATATTTAAGTGCCAAATGATAAAAATTAAGACTACATTTATATATACATATATATATAAAAATATGTATGCAGGATAGGGAGAGAAAAGTTTTCAAAATATTTACATACTTATTTTTAAATATATATCGATATTATAAAAATAATTTCTTAATTGTTTTAAGCAATGTATCACGAAGAGTAATTTGTAATGTAAAATATGTGCATGAGAGGAATAATAAAAATTGACTGTGTTGTTACCATATTTAAGACTCTTAAAGTTTTTGATTCGTCGAACAATTTAGCGAGCATCGCCCTTTATTAATAGGCACTGCGGAGATAAATATGTAAATTTAACAACACTTTTCCAGATAAGTAAAATAACGTGCAGTTGGTAATATTTTTCGATATTATTCGCGTTTGTTATATCGAGAAATATTAGTTTGATTGTAAAGATTTATAAAGAAATAAAAATAAATAAATAAATAAATAAATAAATAAATACATAAATGTATTTATATTTTAAGGCAGAATGTATAATGTATTAAATTTGTGTATAAGTTCCTTGAGTTTTTGAGCGATTATGTTAATGTATATTAAAGAAACAATACAAATCCTTTTTTAATCAAAGTATTTTCCCTTGCTTGCTATAAATTTGAATTATCTTTGATACAAGAAATTCCTTTTAGATTGAAGAATTGATAGATCTTTTGATACAATAAATTTTTCTAAAATCCATATAACAACCTATTTTCCATCATACTTTAGCCTTATTTTTAAATGAAAATAATTCAGCATATACAGTCTCAAATGTGTTTTGTGATCTCCATTAAATTGAAAATATGTTTAACTCAACAATGATTTTATATATAACTTAAGCAATAATAAATATAAAAAAAGCATAAAAAATAATTTAAAAAATAACAAAAAAAGAATTAGAAATGAACACAGAGTTCAATGCGATTTGAACTTGATTCCACAGGAACTTATGCACGAACCTAATACTATATTAATATATTAATATGCTAACGCTAAACTATCCCTCTCATATATTTTGTTAGATTATATAATCCTTTACATATTAATAAATTAATTTTTAATTATAATTATTTGTACATTTTAGACAAAGATAATACTGCCAACTGCCGTTAATATTACCAAAATCCGATAATTTAACATTGCATGTCGGACCTACATGGAATTATAAATTTTTGAAGAGAACAAATCTATTATTTTGAGAATAGAGCATTATTATACCATAAATATAATAAACAGAGTAAATATAAAATATTTCGTATCTTTGTATCGTTACTACATAATAGATAAATCGTAAAAAAAAAGAAATACCAGTCGAAAGTTACGAGTCAAATATAAATATTGAATAAAAATGATCGAAGCGTAATTACCATTGTAGTGCGTAGTGAGCTTTGAGAAAGGTAATTCGAAGATTCGAAAGCGTTAGAGCAATTGATAGCGTTCACCAAACATTAAAATCGAGTCTTTGTACGAATTTTAAGGGTATGCCCATGTGAAGTAACTTGTCCGGCGAATAGTCCTTCAATTTCGGATAATAATAATTCAACGCTTGCCAGCAAATCTCGGATAATTTGGGAATCGTAACCCAAGCAGAATGAACCGCATTCGTCCTTTGCACCTGTAATAATAAGATTATTAGAATATTTTATATTAATTCTTTACAAATATATATATTTAATCATATGTGAATAAAATTTTTGAGAGAACGCAATAATTACTTTATTGTTCGCTTTGACTATACCGCCGAATATGTACATGCGACCCTCCGGAATCAGCGCGGCCGAGTGAAAGTACACCGGATACGGTAAGATGCATTCTCTTAAACGCGTCCATTGCAGCGTGCTGAGATCGAGTCGCCAAACGTCGGAGAATACCCAGTCACCGTCGTAACCGCCTGATATGAAGACGGAAGTGACGCCACTCATTGTGTCTGTATATTGAACGGAACCGTGACAGCGTCGCGGTGCTGGTACTGCGGCACCATCGCTGTCGCCATGCGTGCTCAATGTCCTCCAGCTGTTTGTTTCCAGATCAAACGCTGGTATTTCCTAAAAAATATAAATATTATATTAATGATTTAAAAAATACAAATTATATTTTTAAACAATTATATAAAATTCTATACATATATTACGTGTATGTAAAATATACCACCATCATGCAGAAAAATGATATGAAAATGTTATTTGGAATAAAAAAATTCTTATTATAGAAGACTTAATAATGATAATATATATAATATTTTTAATATATATTGATATAACATGTATCATATAATTAAATAGTGATTTAAGCAACTTAAGACAACATGTATCTTTTAAATAAAATCTGTACATGTTTCTTCACTCACTGAAAAGCCATAGGACTCTGATGAGGTGCCACCACCCAAGACATAAATCATCTTGCCATCAAAGGCGAGTTCATGCCTGTATCTTCCATGTGGCTCTGATTCATCCCTTCCAGAACAAACATACACTATCTCCCAGACACCATTTGTCAGATCAAATCGATGAATGTCGCAGGTGTATTCATAACCGGTGGTACCACCGACTGTGTAGAGATAGGAACTATGATATACCAGAGCCTATTCACAGAAAAACATATGATATAAATGCAGAATATAATATAATATATAAATACAGAAAGACAATGAATAAATAAATAAAAAATATATACAAATGTATAATAAATAGATGATTAAATAAATTTAATTTCAATGTAGTATTAGTACACTTGTGTCTTTTTAATTCTGTCCTGAAAGTTAAGGTAAATTAAAATATTGGTGCATTGAATTAATATATAATTCTATCTATATTTTGCTAGAAACTTTAGTTTTACAAAATCATATATATATACTTTGATTAATTCACACTTAAACTGCGGTCAAAGCTACACTATGAATGCTTCTACATTTCAGAAGAATAAAGACAGAATAATGTTTTGAAACATTCGTAACGTAGCTTTGACTGCAGCCTTAATCTTTTAATTACCTGTCCGTACTGAGGCTCAGGTAGGTCGCCCGTGGCTGGTACTACCTTCATCGTGCCATCGTTTACGTTGCAGACGTACAGCTGATTGCTGCAGGTCTCGCCAAAGGGCACTCCTGTACCACCATATATCATCAATGTGTTGCCCCGTAGCATCACTGCGTTCGATGCCAGCTCGTTCGGCATGTTCTCCTGACCGGGTAATCGTTTCCAGCGTTCGCTCACCAAGTTAAAGCGCCACAGTTCCTTGAACAGCGGCTTGCTGCTCTCCCACGTTTCATCGTCGCGCATATCCGGGTCGGTGTCAGAGATGCACGGATTGAAGCCGCCGTAAGAGTACAGATTTCGATAATCGCACGCGATCCGGTGACCGCTGCGAGCCTTCGGACATTCCGGCCCGTTTGCCGTGTGCTCCATAAACACGAATGGTTTAAATTTGTACATATTGTACATAGTATATATATATATATATTTCTTTATTGCTTTTTGTATATATATATATATATAAATATATATTATATATATGTATCCAATCGTTATCGCAACGAACAGCAGTTGCGAAAGCTCAGTCTAAGGTTATATTATGCTTTATTTTTGACAACTCGACGCGGCCATTTCTAACTTGAAGAATATCGACCTAATCTCCGCAAGAGTCGTCTCTGACGAGGCTCGTCTCTCGATAAGTCTTGTTTCCTTGGCACGATAATCAGTTCTCCGGATATTCTTCGAGAAGAAGACATCAGTCATCTCGAATACAGGGGCGTGATTCTCGTTGGTCGTCTTCACTTTTCCACATCGAAGAACACATATTGCTTCTTTTTTCTTCTTCTTTTTCAGATTATTTACATATTTTAGATTGCTATAGATTATTGTAGACTCAGGATCCGAATAATGAAAAGTGGCAAGTGACAAAGTGAAGGTGGAGATCTATACATACGATCACAAACTTTATGGCATGAACTAAATATTATTCATGATGAGAAACCTTTCACGCCGTCTGCTCCCTTAAATGGTTCGGTTCCGTGTGATCCCGTGATATGGTTCATTTCCGAACTATCGGAACCAAGTTGAGACAGACACTCATTTCGCGTATCAACTATCTATATTTGAATTATTCTTAGGTTCATTCATATAGGTTATCTTTTAGTATTAAAAACAAATTGAGTAATAAATTGATTTTTTTGTATAATTTGTGAAACTTATTTATTTTCGATAATAAAGTTTTTAAGAAATATTTGCGATAATTTGAAAAAAGATTTGAGAAAAAATGAGAGAAGTTCTACTCACAAATTGTGAACGAAATTTTGTAAACAAATGTATAGAAGAGGAAACGGTATACATAAATTTATTTTTTTATATTAAATTTTGGGATTTTAATAATTAAAATATTTATATTTACTTATGGAGACATATATTTTATTATAAATTATATTAACGAAAATAGATATAAAATTCTATAGAACATTTAATATTATTTCAGAGATTAGATGGCCGAAGATTATTAGAAGCACGACCAGTGAAGATTTATTTTGGCTCCAAATGGGGATGTTGTATGGTGTCTCTTGGACATACTAAGTAAATTTATTTAACGTTATACGGATCATCTCTATCTTTAATAAATATATATAATTAAAGGAGTATCTTTTTACAGAGCAATAGCACAAGTGTCATGTGACATACAACAACCAAAAACTGCTCGCCCTAATGAAGGCACAATATATATAAATGTTGAACTTGCTCCATTAGCAGCACAACACTTTGAAAGTGGCAGACCATCTGAGGCTGCCATATTGATCAGTAGACAGCTGGAAAAGTGTTTCAAAGATTCAAAGTGCGTAGACTTGGAATCTCTTTGTATTGTAGCAGACAAGAAGGTTACTGCATACTAATATTAGTATTAAATATTGTACAGTATATGTTATATATGTACATAAAATGTGTTTTTCTTTAGGTATGGAATTTAAGACTTGATGTTAATATCATAAATCATGATGGGAACTTGATTGACTGTGCTTCTATAGCAGCACTCGCTGCTCTTATGCATTCCATAGACCAGACGTTACTTCTACTGGCGAGGAAATTATTATACATTCAGCATCCGAAAAAGATTTTCTTCCATTAACATTATTTCACTATCCAGTTTGTATATCTTTTATAACTTTTGAAAGGTAAACAGTCTATATTATTTGCTCTTTAAATTTTTATTAACATAACTTAATCATAATTAATTTTAATCTTGTTTAAGAATACATCAATAAAGTTCAATATTTTCTAAGACAATATATATATAAATAATACAATATCTTTCTCTTTCAGTGGCAACACCATAATGGATCCAACATATACTGAAGAAAGAGTTGGTGTTGCCGAACTTACTCTTGGCATGAATTCTTATAAGAACTCTGCAGTTTGCATTTCGATTATTTAACGAAAACTATGACGGTCGAAGACGTTATATCTGCTGTTTCTAATCATGCAGCAAGTTATGCAGCTAATTTAGTGCAACAGATTAAGGAGGCTGTAACTAAAGATGTACAATCACGGTAAGTATATATATAAAATCTCAACATATATAATCTCTTAAGTTTATAATTTTTAAAAATATTTTCTTAATATATAAAATATAATAACTTGGAACAGTTATTAATAAATGAATTAAAACACACAACACACAATATTCTATATTTTTCATCAGATGAATGTAATCAAATCAATTAACCAATTAATGCAATAAAAACAATTTTTTATTTTGTAATTATGTATTAAAAAGAGAAAAACAAGTTTTTAAATTTGTGAATTCAGTTTATGCTCTTTATTTCAGATACAAAAAGATAATAACAACACATGTCGATTTAAAGAAAGCATTCAAACTGATAAGGTTACAACAATGATAGGTGATCACATTACTATTAAGTTACGAAAATGGGACGCGACAACTATGGTAGAAGGTATATTTTTAATTTTTATCTAATTATATTTTTATATACAATTAAAATTATAAATAATAAAATTTAAATTAATTTTGTTTTCATTATATTAAAATTGAATTAAAATGATTAAAATTAAAATTAATTCTATTTTTATTTTAAGTTTCTCAATTCGATTTAATAATTCGTAATTTATAAAAAGTGTGCACTTTAAATATTTTATTTAATGATAAAAATGTATAGATGACTATATGGAAATAGAACATGAGAACAAGAGCTGTATTATAAAATACAAAGAGGAACTGCTGAATTAATACCTGTTGTCGATGTAAGTATGAAAAGAAGTATTGCTTACAATATTGGCTTCTCTCTTACTATTAAGTTACGTACTTATTTTTAGTAATTTCTTGTTTGCTAATGACATCATGAATAATTGTTATAATATTCTTGCAGGATTCAATTAAGACAGAAGAAAAATTATAGCAATATGTATATGACTCGGATTCAGACAATCAGTGCCTTGAATCGCGACCCGCCTCAAAAAAAAACCCATAGTGATAGATTTAGGTATTAAAATATTGATTTCTTCTTTTTTTTTAAAAAAGAAAAATGGAAGCTATTATATCTAGTGAAATGAGTTAAAAAAATAAAAAAAAACTTGACATCAAAGAATGAATATAAAACGATCTTTTCATCTTTATTTTAAAATTTTTTTTAACTTAAAGAATACAAATTAATTTATAACTATTAATGATACATCATACAAATATATAATCATTAATAGATTGTTCCATTTTTCTTTGATTGATTCTAGATTCCAAAATTAATATAAAATTAATATAAAATCATCTTAAACTAATATTTAAAAAGAAACAAAGATTATGTTATAAAAATTGGAAACTTTATAACAGAATTTATAAAGAAGAAAATTTTTGTTTTTGATTAGCAAATGTCATTAGTGTCATATGAAGGAAAACTAAATTCTATAGATATTTAAATAATTTAAAACATACTTTTTTATTTATTCAGGGATGACAGCGATTAAATCGATGCGCAATGTAAAAAAAAGATGTGTGTGAAATAAATCTTTTAAGATGATTAATTATTTGTTATAAATCTAGTTTTTTTATTTTATGCTACTTTCATACATTTTTCTAAAATGACACACCAATTACCTTGATCGTAGTAGACTTCCTTAATCATGACTGCAAATACTTCCATGCATAGTTTTGCGAGTTCATTTTCTGAAATACATGATAATACCTTAAGAAACGTTCGCCGTCCTTTTTTTTCCAAGGAACTAATGTCGCTGTGAGCAAAGTTTGTTCTGTTTCATGAACCGGCAATGTTTAAGCAATATTGGGAAATGTTCTCGTGATTGATTTCACTCTGATCAAGCTTTTCGGTCTCGTCTTTCTTCTGTTTTTTTCCGTACTTCAAATAGCTGAATCCGTAGAATCCTTGCGCTGCTCTTTCGCCCACACATAAATCAGCATTTTCCTGTTGGTCTTAACACTCTAACCATTTCGGAAATGGCGCGTCGTCTCCGTTCCGGAGTGGAAAGATGATGAATCACCG